CAAACCCAGGTCCTCTGGGAAAGCAGCAAGGGCTCTTAACCACTGAGCCATCTCTACAGCCAGGAATGTTAATCGACTACCTCAGGTCCCAGAATAAACAGACTAGCAGGCATGTGAGCCTCTTCCCTCCTTTAAACACTTGTTTATTTAATTAACCAGTTATCTATCCTTGTGCTCACGCTTGCCACAGCACATGTGCAGAGGTCAGCGGACAAGGTCTCTCTCTGTGGGTCCCAGGAACTGAACTCACATTGCCAGGCTTGTAAAGTAAGGGCTTCCCTTCCTCCCGCCTTTCTTCCCCTTTCTTCCTTCAAGACAAGACCTCACTATATAGCCCTGACTGTCCTGGAACTCATCTGTAGACCAGGCTGGTCTTGAACTTACAGAGATCCACCTGCCTCTCCCAGTAGCATATGCCACCACTCCCAGTTCCTTTTCTTTTTTTGAATGTGCTTGCTTCCTAAGATGGATGGAAGGTGTTGGGCTCCAGCCCCCACGGGGTCTCTGTGAGTTGCTTGTCAGCCAATAACCACAGGTGCATCCTGTTTTCTAGTCCTGGCTCACTGCCCCAGCCTTGCCCCACTGGCATCAACCGCTAATTATGGAAACATGAACTCTTACACCTGGGGTTTCTCCACTGTGCTGTAAGTCTGTATATAAGACTGCTCCCTCCTTGCAGTAAAGACATGGATGGACACACACACACACACACACACACACACACACACACACACACACATTCTCTTAGCACAAACGGCCAGAGATGTCTTGTCTTTCGTTTAAATCTCCAGGCTTTCACCCAATACATTAGATTTGCTTGTGGCCCAGGCGCCACAGGAAGGTGTCTCCCTCAGCCTGTTAGCAGACATTTTGTCCTTTCCCTTTGAGGACTGGCTGTCATTTTTATGCTGGGTGTGGCTCTGGTGGGGATACGGCTCAGTAGAGTACTTGCTGAACACACGAACCCTAGGAGCCATCCCCAGCACCACCGAGAGGAATAAAAACAGGCATGGTATGGTGGATGCCTGTGATCCTAGCTCTCAGGAAATAGAGACAGGAGGCTCATCTATGGCTACATCGTGACTTTGAGGCCAACCTGGGCAACATAAGGCCCTGTCTCAAAGTAGAAGCAGTGGTGGCACACGACTTTAATCCCAGCACTCAGGAGGCAGAGGCAGGTGGATCTCTGTGTGAGTTCCAGGCCAGCCTGGTCTACAAGAGCGAGTTCCAGGAGAGCCGCCAAAGCCGCAGAGAAACCCTGTCTCAAAAAAAAAAAAAAAAAAAAAAGGACAAAAAGAACAAGGAGGGAAACATGAAAAACCTCTTAAGGAGAAGCACCTCCTGGGACAGCTCCCCTGCCAAGTACTCCAGGCATTTGGGGATGCCACAGCCCTCTGTCCAAGCTTCCTCAGCGATGCTCCACAAAACCATCAAATACTGGCCACAGACAGAACAGCCTGGGTCCGCAGAGACTCCGTGGTCTGTGGGCCAGCCAGGCCACTTTTCCAAGAAATTCATTGATTGCGGTGAAGAGACCAGGATAAGTCAGGTTAATGCCAGGGTCTCGGGCTAAGTGCTCTCCACAATCCCAAGGCAACCAGCCCCGTGGTCACCATCCTGGCTGTGTCTCCACTAGCCCAATGTCAGGGTCTGCAGAATCAGAAGAAAGGGTCCAGTGTGTCTTTTGGACGGAATGTATCTTCTGCTCATATATCACACCTGTGACCCCAGTGTTCAGGGGCTGAGGCACCCTTCCACACTGTTCATGTTTTTAAAGTTCTGAACAGACATTACTTAAAAGGCAAAAAAAAATTCAGGCTAAAATATTGGTCTCAATTGTTTCTTTTTTTTTTTTCCGCCCAGCCTTGGTCTCAATTGTTATTGCATCCTTTAGCACAGCCCGCTGGTAGTGACACGCACACCTTTAATCCCAGCGCTAGGGAGACAGAGAGGCAGGGGAATCTCTGAGCTGGAGGCCAGCCAGGTCTACAGAGTGAGTTCCAGGACAGCCAGGGCTACATAGAGAAACCCTGTCTCAAAAAATAAAATAACATGGACTGGACGATGTCCCGGAAGTGGGTGGCTCACAAATGCCCATGACTAAGGGACCAGGGGTCCAGCAATGGTGTCTTCTGGTCTCCACCAGCACTTGCATTCACATGTTACAAAAGCACACAGATAATCACAAATAGAAGATCTTCAAACCATGTAGCAATGTATGCATGTAAGCATTTTGCCTGTATGTATGGAAGTGTAACACATGCTTGGTGTCCTGGTATTGTGAGCCATCATATGGATGGTAGGGACCGACTTGGGTCCTCTGCAAGAGCAACAAGCACTCTTGACTGCTATGCCAACTCTCCAGCCCCCACTAGACACTTTTTTTTTTGAGACAGGGTTTCTCTGTGGCTTTGGAGGCTGTCCTGGACGTGCGCCACCAACACCCGGCTCCCACTATACACTTTTAAGTTTTGCAAGTGAAGTCTGTGCTAGGGACAGAAGCGAATGTTTTCCAGTTCTGCATTGGCTCCCTCACCTCAATGCCTCAGGATGGGGCTGTGTTCTGGGTTATGAATAGTGTCCTTTTTAGAAGAGGGAGTCAGGGGACCAATGGGGTGGCTCCGTAGGTAAGAGTGCTTGCCACAAGCCTCATGGCCTACGTTCAAACCCTGGAACCTACTGGTGAAAAGAGAGACCCCTCTCCCAGAAGCTGTCCTCTGACCTTCACATTTGCAATCTGACAAAGCAGTGGAAACAAAAACAGGAGGCGGTTATGACGCAGTTGCTATGGATGCATAGGAGACCAGCAGATGAAGGACGCTGGGAGTGTGGTTATCTGCCACCCGAGGAGCAGCCTCAGAAGGAAGCCACTCTGCCCAGTCTGGGCCTTGGACATCTAAAACCGAGGAGCCCATCTCTGTGGGTAGAGTCTGGGAAATTAACACACGGGACAGAGATACATTTGCTTTTATTATACGTCAGATGATAATTATGTCCTTCACACCCCCCCCCAAAGGCTGGAGTCTGATCTCACAGTCTTTTTCTTTCTTTCTTTTTTTTTTTTTTTTTGGTTTTTCGAGACAGGGTTTCCCTGTGTAGCTTTGGAGGCTGTCCTGGAACTAGCTCTGTAGACCAGGCTGGCCTCGAACTCACAGAGATCCGCCTGCCTCTGCCTCCCAAGTGCTGGGATTAAAGGCGTATGCCACCAACGCCTGGCTCTCACAGTCTTTTTCGATTGACTAATCTGAAAAGAAAAGAGAATGGAGTCATTGCTTCAGGCCATCAAATTCCTGGGAAGATAGCTGGGAGCCTGTGAACAAAAGGTTTGGTGGGTGGAGCAGGGATTGAGATATTTACATAGAAAGTCTTAGTAAGTTAGAGGGGCTGGGGTAAAACTATTTAAATCTCTTGTCCTAAACACAAGCTTTATAGTATTTGATATAAAATACTCATACTCAACTGCCAACATAAGGCAGAGGCAGCAAAGCCCAAGTACAAATGAACTGTTGTGGCTGTGTTCTTTCTTTCTTTCTTTTTTTTTTTTTTTTTTTTGGTTTTTCGAGACAGGGTTTCTCTGTGTGGCTGTGTTCTAATAAATGTTTATTCATAAAAACATGGGACCAGCCTAGGTTTTGAGCATTGATTTACTCTCCAATCGTGTTCATGTTTTTTGTTAGATGCAGTCATGATTGTGAGATAAATGTGACAGGGTCACCGGGTAGTGGTGGTACACACCTTTTATCCCAGCATTCGGGGGAGGCAGAGGCAGGCAGATCTCTGTGAGTTCCAGGACAGCCAGGACTGTTACACAGAGAAACCCTGGCTCAGATTTCTTTGTAGAGACCAGGATGGAAGTGTGGTTGTGTGTGGGAGGATGGTGGAATGGGGGAGGGGTGGTTCTCAAACATTCCAGGAAAGGACTCTGCCACTTAACAGTAATGACAGCCCTCGGCTGTTTCCAGAAAGGCCTATTATCTGACAGGCAGGCCTTCAATCCTCCCTGAAGCTTCCCAAGTTGTTGGGTCTGCAGGTGTTCATCTCCCTGTCACTGAAGCTTCTATTTATTTATTTTATTATTTTTGAGACAGGGTCTCGTGTAGCCCAGGCTGTCTTTAAATTACCTAAGTAACTGAGGAACTTCTGATCCTCTGACCTTCGCCTCCCAAGTGCCGGGGTCACAAGTGCACATCACTGTGACTGGCTCGTGCATTGCTGGAGCTGGAACTCAGGACTTGCACATGCTGGGCACTCTGCCAACTGAGGTACAGCCCAAGCTCTGCCTCTAAAAAATTCCTTCTTATGTGGGTGTGTGTGGGTACATCCTGTGTGTGTGTCTGCGGCACCAGAAAAGACCCTTAGGTCCCTTGGAGGTATAGTTACAGGCAGCTGTAAGCAGCCAGACATAGACCCTGGGATCTAAACCTTGGTCCTAATGATTGAGCAAGAGTCAACATAATTTTTTTTTGAAACAAGAGTATGTTAGTTAGAGTTTCTATTGCTCTGTTGGACACCATGACCACAGCAACTCTTATAAACATTTAATTGGAGCTGGCTTACAGTTCAGAGGTTCAGTCCATTGTCATGGTGAGAAGCATGGCGGCATGCAGGCAAACATGGTGTTGGAGAGGTAACTGAAAATTCTACATCTTGATCCACAGGCAACAGGAAGTGAACTGATGATGAGCTTGAGCATAGGAGACCTCAAAGTCCTCCAACAAGGCCATACCCACACCTCTTTTTTGTTTGTTTGTTTGTTGTTTTTGGGTTTTTTGAAACAGGGTTTCTCTGTGGCTTTGGAGGCTGTTCTGGACCAGGCTGGTCTCAAACTCACAGAGATCCGCCTACCTCTGCCTCCCGAGTGCTGGGATTAAAGGTGTGTGCCACCACCACTGGCCACACACCCACACTTCTTTTTTTTTTTTTTTTTTTTCGAGACAGGGTTTCTCTGTGGCTTTGGAGGCTGTCCTGGAACTCGCTCTGTAGACCAGGCTGGCCTCGAACTCACAGAGATCCGCCTGCCTCTGCCTCCCGAGTGCTGGGATTAAAGGCTCGAGCCACCAACGCCCGGCTGGGGGAGAGGCATCCTTAAAACATAACTCTTACAAAAACAATTTCAATGAACACTATTCTAGAAACTTCTTGTGAGATTTCCCTTCAGGTTTCACCAGTCAAGAAAGACAGTTGCTGGGAAATAAGTATTTTCAGTGTGAGTATTGATGTCAGAGTCCCAGCAAGGGAGAAGAGGACCAAGGGAGATAGCTGGCCACTGTTTCTCATCACGCAGCTGGCATTGCTGGCTTCCAGCTCTATGACTTGGGACTTTCTGAACCGTTGTGTCTTCCGCTGTCTGTGGAGACGGTGGCACATGGGAAACTGGAGTTATCCGGGAGATTCACGCAGCCACCTGAGGACTTCTTGCCTGTCAGCAGGGAGAGGTCACTGAGAAATGGTTGCCATGGTGACTACGCTGCCATGCCATAGGATGACGCGGGGAGCTTGGAAAGAGCAGCGGACTTTGCACCTTGGGGCTTCAGACAGGCAGCGGATGTTAGTGGACACACCCTGCTCACACCAAGCTGCTTGGCTGTGCTTTCCCTATCTGCAAGGCGGGGCAAGGTCCAAGGGCAGGGCTCCCTGCCATTCTACTCCACAAAACCCTCCTCGGGCGGGGGAGATGGCTCAGTGGATAACACGCTGGCTGTGAAAGCGGGAGGGGCCTGCGTCCTGAACCCGCTGCCTAGCTAGACTGGCCAGCTCCATGTTCAGACAGAGACAGACCCTGCCTTGGTGGATAGAGTGGAGGTTTAGGAAGGCATGTGTGCCTGAACACTGGGAAGAACACCACACACACACACACACACACACACACACACACACACACACACACACATCATATGCATATCACACACACATGTCACGTGCATATCACACGCACATGCAAATGCCCACAAAATAAAAGCACTTACTGAGCACCAGGATCGGGGCAGTGAGTAAAACAGACCCTTCGCCCACTCGCCCTTCATGGGGAAGATAATAATTCTTTCTGTGCAGCCGCTGAAGGAAGGAGCAGGGGACACAGACTAACCCTGAGGAGGAAGTGGGCCACAGAGGATGCTAGGCTGTGGTACAATGACAGCTGGAGAACAGGACACGGCAACTGCCATTCGCGAGAACCAGAACACGCGCACGGGAAAAAAGCGCGGGACTGAAGACGGTCAGAATGGTTCACACCTTCAATCCAGTATGGGGAAACAAAGGACTAGAGGATGATGGGAGTTTGAGGCCAGCCTGCTCTACAAGGTGATCCAGGGGTAAGGACCCAGGCATTATGCTAGCCCGCCCCCTCACCTGGCAGAATGTACCCAGGCAGTACCCTGGTCAGCCCCAACTTCCCCAGCTCCGACATCACCATGCAGTCTGCACGCAGGTGCAAAGGAGCCTTTAAAACGGAACTCCGCCCCCCCCGCTTGAAGGGGCCAACAGAACTTTTCCTGCCTCCCTCTTTGCTTTTTCTTTTTTTTTTTCCTGCCTCCCTCTTCGCTCTTTTTCTTTTTCTTTTCTTTTTTTGGTTTTTCGAGAAAGGGTTTCTCTGTGGCTTTGGAGGCTGTCCTGGAACTCACTCTGTAGACCAGGCTGACCTCGAACTCACAGAGATCCGCCTGCCTCTGCCTCCTGAGTGCTGGGATTAAAGGCGTGCGCCACCAACGCCCGGCGTTCTCTCTCTTTTTCTTTCTATCTCTGTTCCCCCTCTTTCTCTTTCCTTTCTACTCCCGCCGCTTTCTAGTAAAACTTCTCACTTAAGCGCTGTCTGCCAGGCACGTTTGTCCCTCGCCTGCCGTGGAATCCTCCAAGGTCCCCCACACGCTTTATTCCTAACACTTAGCCTAGGTTAGTCAGACATTGTCTCAAAACCCCAAACTAAGCAAACACGAAAAGGCGGATCAATGATTTAAAACCACAGCAGAGTTCAGGTATGGCTTGATCCAGCAGCTCTGAGGATGCTCTCGGGGCTGGTCTCTCTCTGCCTCTGGCCTCCCCATCATTCAGTTCATCTTGTGTCAATCCGGTTCCCTCAGTCAGGCCTTCCGCTGTGGGTGGGAAGCCTGCTGCGAGTGTCTCCCTCGTCCTTCCCCTCAGATACCCAGGCGGCAGCTTCACCCATTCAACCAAAGAAGCAAAGATTTTGGTCCTGGAGCTCCCTGGTCCACATGATGTATGTATGTATGTATTTGTGTGTGTGTGTGTGTGTGTGTGTGTGTGTGTGTGTGTGTGTGTGTGTGCTGTGTATGTATGTATATTTAATCATCTGTGAGGAAGTAAAGGCCCAGCTGCTTCATGGAGGTGCCTGGCAGGAACGGGGCAGGTCTGCTCTGAGCTGACAGCCCCACCACCGACAGACAGAGGCTGTGAGCAGTTCTGGGTTGGCCAGTTGTGGTGCTCAGCAGAGATGGTGTCTCTGGGTCAGTCTCATTTTAATTAATCAATTAATTTTTTTTTTTGGTTTTTCGAGACAGGGTTTCTCTGTGGCTTTGGAGGCTGTCCTGGAACTCACTTTGTAGACCAGGCTGGCCTCGAACTCACAGAGATCCGCCTGCCTCTGCCTCCTGAGTGCTGGGATTAAAGGCGTGCGCCACCACCGCCCGGCTAATCAATTCATTTTTGAGGCAGGATTTCAAGTAGCTCAGGCTAGCCCAGACTTAGCTTTGTAGCTAGGACTATAGTCACAGGTCTCCATGCCTGGCTTGCTTATTACTGCCCCAGACTCCCCAGTGCTCCTGGGAACTGGTTCAGAATCAGTCTTTAAAGCCTGCACTGGGGGCCAGAGATGTGGCGTGGTTGGTAGTGACCTCACCTGGCATGCACGGTTGGCCCTGGGTTCCGTTCCCAGCACCACATGAGCCCGACCTTGTGGAACACACTTGGCATCCCAGGATTCAGGAGGTGGAGGCGGGAGGATAAGCGTGATTGCTCAGCAAGGAAGTGAGATTACCTTCTTCCCCCAGTGAGTGATGGGAGTTGCTAAGGAAACCCAGCTGCTGTGTCTCCAGCTGCACCGTCCCTGTGTTTTCTCTTGAGGGCCTGAGCTGAGGCAACCTGCAGCGGTGATGCATTTGACCAAATGTGTCTTGTGTGTCAGTCAGCTTTCCAAACTGCAGCAAAACACCTGAGGGTTAATTTACAAACAAGAAAGGTTTGTTCTGTCTTAGCTGTGGACGCTTTATTGGCTCAGATGGCTGCTGGCTCTGAGTCAAGGGAGGAGAAGGTGGCTGGGAAGTGAGACAGAGAGGGAGAGAAGGGCAGGCTTTCCAGTGTCCTCTCCAAGTACAGCCCCAGGGGTTCCTCCCTCCAGGTTCCACCCCCTTTGTGTTTGGCTGTCCTGAAACTCGCTCTGTAGACCAGGCTGGTCTCGAACTCACAAAGATCCGCCTGCCTCTGCCTCCCGAGTGCTGGGATTAATGGCATGCACCACCACTGCCTGGCTATGGTACCTTTTTTATTGTTGTTTGTTTTTTTTTTTGCTTTGACAGGGTTTCACTATGCTGTGGCCCAGGCTGGCCTTGAACTCACAGCAAACCTTCTGCCTCTGGTCGCAGAGCCTGGATCCACAGCATTAACTGCTTTCCTTGTCCCAGTCTCTCTGTCTCCTCCTGAAGTTTCGTGGGACTCCCCCCAGCATCCCAATTTACAGCCCAATCCAGGCCTCCTAGACTCTAGTCTGTGTCCTCCCCTTCACCCTGGTGACAGAGAGGAACTCTAGGAATCTCTGTACCGCACAGAAGGTCTTGGGGGCATCCGGGAGAAGCATTGCATCTCAAACACAAATGTGCAAGGCTGTGAAGCCTGGTGTGCACAGGCCTTTCCACTCTGTGGAAACCCCTGGCTTAAACATTCCAAGTCATGCAGGCCAAGAATCCTCAGGCTTCGCTGGGCGTTGGTGGTGCACACCTTTAATCCCAGCCCTCGGGAGGCAGAGGCAGGCGGATCTCTGTGAGTTTGAGACCAGCCTGGACTACCAAGCGAGTTCCAGGACAGCCTCCAAAGCCACAGAGAAACCCTGTCTCGAAAAACCAAAAAAAAAAAAAAAAAAAGAGTGCACCAGTTTCTCCTCCCAAGCTGCCACAGGAAGGCATCAACCCCCAGATAGGCACACACAGAGGCATCACACAAAGGAACAAAAACAAAACAGGACTGGGGATGCAGCTAAGCCGGTACAGTGTTTGCCAAGCACGCGCAAGGCCCTGGGTTCGACTCAGGAGATGTGGTCTGCCTGTCATCCCAGCGCTCGGGAGGTCAGCGGGGCATCAGAAAGCATTCCTTCGCAGTCACACAGTACATCCACAGCCAGCCTGGGTTACACGAGACCCTGGCTTAAAAAAAGAAACAAAGCAGAAAACCCCCAAAATAACCACCCTCAAAGCAGAAAATGAGGCCATGTCCAAGCTGCCTTAACTACTGTTTCTAGACGCCTCGGGGACTCTAGGAGGATCTGGAAATTGGCGGTTGGGTATAAGCAGATGAGAAGAAGCCTTACCATGTCATTCACAGTGGCAAGTGTGGGCAAGACCAAAGCAATCCAGTTTTGTCTCTGATGCCAGCGATGTTTTCCCATTGAAGACTTCTTGGTGTTTTGTAGGTGAAAGGAAAGAGAGAGAGAAGAAATTGGCAAGTGAAAGCAGCCATGTTTTAGGACACCCCCCCCCAATTTAAGCAGCAAACAGGACATGGGTGGGGTCCCTACATGGACCCTAGTGTCATCTGCCTGTGTTGGCACCCTAGCCCTGCCATCTGCCAGCTGTGCGACTTGTAAAAAGCCCTTCAGCCTCTCTGGACCTCCACAGCCTCATCTGTAAAATGGGATAATAACGGGGAGGTTATCATGTCACAGCAATGTCCTATGGACAGGGACAAGGTATTGGGATCGGTCTGTTGCATCATAACTGCCAAGCATCAGGAACACTTAATACTGTGCCATTGTCACCGCTTTGGGTCATGGGTAAGGCAATGGGAAATTGTTGGGGAGACTGGTAAGAAATGAGGGGGTCGGCTGGGCGTTGGTGGCGCACGCCTTTAATCCCAGCACTTGGGAGGCAGAGGCAGGCGGATCTCTGTGAGTTCGAGGCCAGCCTGGTCTACAAGAGCTACACAGAGAAACCCTGTCTCAAAAAACCAAAAAAAAAAAAAAAAAAAAAAAAAAAAGGAATGAGGGAGTCGGATCCTTGTGTGATTCTGGGCCTCAGTTTATACAAAGATGAACACGACAGTGCAGGGACCCCAGGACCACAGACACTGTTCTGAGTGTTTGCTATCATCCCTAATCTTCAGAGCTGCTTTCTGGAGGATGGGCAGTTAGCACTCCCGATGAGGAGATTGGGTGCAGAGAGGGACAGCAGTTTACCTGAGGCAACACAGTTTCTTCTAATATTGTTCTTATTGTTGCATTTATCTGTGTGTGGGCATGCACCTGTATACATAATATCCACACAACGGTTCACATGTGGGAGCCAGATGACTGTTATGGTGGAAATTCCAACCAAACCCCCTCACCTATCTCTCTCTAAACCCTGCTGCATCTCAGAAAGCCCGCCAAAGATGACCCCTCCCCAAAAGATGCTCAAGACCACTCCCACAGTGTATTTAAACTCTCTCCTAGAAAACAGACTTGGGGTTTTTCCAGTCTCCTATCTGGAGCAATGGAAGGCCATCCGGGAGCATTGTATCCATTAAACGTGGGCTTTTTCTTTTTTCTTTTTTTTTCTTTTTCTTTTTCTTTTTGGTTTTTTGAGACAAGGTTTCTCTGTATTGTTTTGGAGACTGTCCTGGAACTAGCTCTGTAGACCAGGCTGGCCTCGAACTCACAGAGATCCGCCTGCCTCTGCCTCCCGAGGGCTGGGATTAAAGGCGTGCGCCACCAACGCCCGGCAAACGTGGGCTTTTTCTAATTGGGTTTGATTTGGTCTGATTTGGATTACTGCATTGGCAGGGAGGCTTATCAGGTTTAGAAACTTTTCATCTGGAGGACAGCTGGTGAGAATCAGTTCCCGCCTTCTGTCAGATCCAGGTCCTCAGGCATGATGGCAAATGCCTGTAACCACCGAGTCATTTTTCACCAGCCGAGGTCACACAGCTACACCACTTCAAAGACCCATGGAGGCGTGTGAGGTCAGTGTTGTCCACCTGTCCCAGGAGCTGGTGGTGGAGCCCGCTGGCCCACCCTGTCCCATCTGTAGGTCTTCCTGGCTTGCTAGGCCCTGGTGCTGGGAGCTGGTCTAGGGAGGGTTTTGGATCTGATGAGCTTGGAACCCCAGGGCCTCCTAGTCCGTTCCTTCCCTTTTACGATGGGGACAGAGGTATGGCTGGCTTTCCCAGCAGCCTCTGCTTCCTTTGCGTCTCCTTCCTCATTTCATGCCCTCTTTCTCAGCATCACTCGGGGTCATGTGAAGATCTTGGGACACCAGTGGAAGGTGACCAAGCTGCTTCATCAGCGCAAGGCTTCTTAACTGGATTAGGGAGGAGGAGAGTGGGTGGGAGGCTTGGGGGGGGTGGGGCAAAATTCCAACCAGAGCCATTAAAAGATACTGCTCGGGGCTTGACGAAACCGGGGGCTTGGCACACTGTCTCAGAGAGCTGAGGGTGTACACACGTGTCCTCCAGCAGACAGAGGACATCCGGCAGGGGATGCTTGGGGGAGGGGGACCAGGAAGCTGTTCGATTATCCAGCTGCTTCAGTCTAAATATGTTGCACATCTGGTGGCCTAGAAATTGCCTGTGATTTCATAGCCACTGACTTGCTGTCTGGGCTTGAGCTCGGCTCTAGGGGAGGGAGGAAAAGAGAAGAGGGAGGGAGGAGGGGGGAGGCAGTCCAGAAAGAAAGGAGAGGGGCAAAGGGTGGGGGGAGGAGCAGAGGGAGGAGGAGGAGGTGGAAGAGGAGGAATTGGAGGAGGAGGTGGAGGAGGGGGAGGAGGAGGGGGAGGAGGAGGAGGGGGAATTGGAGGAAGGACAGCAGCTTGTTCGCACAAACAGCCACCGGGTTTCTCTGTTCTGCCAAAACTGGAGCTGGTTTGTGCCAGGCCTTGATGGGAAGTGCTGATCTCTTCTGAGGAAGAGCAGACTTGAGGAAGAGGCTCTTAATATAAGTGATCAGCTGCTCCCAAACGGGCCTATTTCACTCTCTGCTTTGTAACCTTCTGATAGGACCAGGGACGGTGCCAGCGTGGTTACCCACTTTCTTCTACAAACACAGAGCATCTGCGGTTTCTTTCTGACAGGATGTGGGGTAATGTGTCCAAGCAAGGGTAGGGCCTTTCAATGACAGTTGTGGGACATAGAGAAGGTGGTCACATGGAAAGTTCCAAAACAGGGAAGGACAATTTTTTGTCCCTCTGCTAGGTGATGAGCAGTGGCTGCTTTGGGGCAGCAGGTGGGGGGGTTCTGAGGCCACATCTCAGAGTGAATGAGTTCAGTAATGGATTGCTAATGTCTGTCATTAAGTTGGCAGGGGCAGGCAGGGTGGGTTGCTGTTCCATGTCTGCAGATTCAAACAGCTGTGTGTTGAAAGTATTTAGAAACAGTGGGTAAAGCAGCGAATTTGAGATTGAAGAAAGATGGGCCTGGAGGTGGCCTCACTTTCTGATTTGTTGCTGTTTCTTATTTTTTGTTTGTTTGTTTGTGTATGTTTTTTGTTTTTTAAGACAGGGTTTCTCTGTGTAGCCTTGGCTGTCATGCAAGTCACTCTGTAGACCAGGCTGGCCTTTAACACACAGAGATCCACCTGCCTCTGCCTCCTGAGTGCTGTGATTAAAGGCGTGTACCACTGCCACCACCACCCAGTTCTGAATTTTTTTTTGAGACAGTGTCTCATGTAGCTCAGGCTATCCTTGAACCCACCATGTAGCTGAGGGTGACCTTGAACTCCTGATCCTCCTACCTACACTCCTAAGTGATAGAATTATAGGCATGCATCAGTATACTGGGTGTACTTGGTACTGGGGATTGGAATTCATCTCATGCATGGTAGGCAAACACTCTACTGACGGAGTCACAGCTGAGATCTCTCCTTTGCCCGTCGTTCATGATCCTTCTGTCTTAGACTACTGAGTGCTGGGATTCCAGGCAAGCACACTCCCCTAGGTGTCTAACCATGCCTGGCTACTGCCTCAGGTATCATTGTCTGGGGACAGGAAACAAAGAGGCCCAGCTCTGTTAGCTCTTACCGTCTCAGAACCTCCTGCCTGCCTACTTGCATGAAGCAGACAGGGGCAGGCAGGAAAGTACTAGCTAATGGACTGGGCATGGGGTCTAAATGCTCACAAGTTAGACATGTTAGAAATTAAGAATGAGCCGGAGCCGGGCGTTGGTGGCGCACGCCTTTAATCCCAGCACTCGGGAGGCAGAGGCAGGCGGATCTCTGTGAGTTCGAGGCCAGCCTGGTCTACAGAGCGAGTTCCAGGACAGCCTCCAAAGCCACAGAGAAACCTTGTCTCGAAAAACCAAAAAAAAAAAAAAAAAAAGAAAGAAAGAAAGAAAAAAGAATGAGTCGGGCAGTGGTGGTGTATACCTTTAATCCCGGGAGGCAGAGGTCGGTGGATCTCTGTGAGTTTGAGGACAGCCAGAGCTGCAAAGTGAGACCCTAGCTTAAAACCAAAAATAAGAAAAGAAATTAACTGTGGTTTGTACACAAGACCCTGGCCCACAGTCTCAAGGGCTGAGCACTTTCTGAGCAGCCTGGCCACAGGACATACCAGCGGTCACTGTATAAGCTATCAGGATGGCAGGGCATGGCAGTGACCACTGTGTGTGTTACTGGGATGGCAGGGCAGGGCATGGCAGGTGGGCGCTGTCTCTTCAGACCTGGGACTCCCAAACGTGACCAGCCCTTGAAGAGCCTGAGGTTGTACTCACCCAGGTGCCTCAGCTCAGGGTCCCCAGGTTCTTCTGAATTGCCTGGTTGCGGGTTCCTAGGACCATGTCCCAGCATCTCGGAAGAAACGCGTTGGCATCTCAGTGTGTTCGGCTTCAGCAATAGAGCACGCTTCCTCCCGCCTGACATCATTCCCAGGAATAGACAGCAATTACCACCCCAAGCCAGTGTAGAAGGGAAATGAGGTGGCATATGATCTGAGTGTGCCGTGTGAGGATCTGTGCAGGTCCCAAGGATTCTTTTCTGTGAGGAATCTCCATGCAACTGCCAATCTGCCAGGTCAACAGCTCTCAGAGGCTGCTTAGATCACGGCACTTCATAGATGGGCATTGGCCTAAGGTCACCATGGGGGACAATTACTCTAAGGACAGTGCAACTCAAACAAGTTTGGGAACTGTTTTTATTTTTATTATTATTGTTGTTGTTGCTGCTGTTGTTATTATTATTTATTTACATATTGGTTTCTTTTCTTTTCTTTTTTTTTTTTATTTTTCGAGACAGGGTTTCTCTGTGGCTTTGGAGGCTGTCCTGGAACTAGCACTTGTAGACCAGGCTGGCCTGGAACTCACAGAGATCCGCGTGCTGGGATTAAAGGCGCCAACAATGCCCAGCTGTTTTTTTTTTTTTTAATAATTTGTGTGTGTGCAGTATCCCCAAAGGCCAGAAGAGGGCATCAGCTGGAGCTCAAGGTAGTTACATTTCTGTGTCAGTTCTGAGAACCAAACCCAGGTCCTCTGCAAGACCAGCCAGTGCTCTTAGCTCTTAACCACCAAGCCATCTCTCCCTCTCCCCATCATCTGTGTGTGTGTGTGTGTGTGTGTGTGTGTGTGTGTGAGAGAGAGAGAGAGAGAGAGAGAGAGAGAGAGAGAGAGAGAGAGAGAGAGAGAGAGAGAGAGAGAGAGAGAGGGGAAAGAGGGGAGAGAGGGGAGAGAGGGAGAGAGAGGGGAGAGACAGAGAGACAGAGACAGAGAGGGCCTCCTGTAGCCTAGGCTGGCCTGACTACACAGGGAGTCCCTGCCTGGAAATAACTCTCTTCCTGTTTCTGTTTCTGGACAGTATCTGCCACTTGGAAGGACCTGGAGTCTTTGTTTTTTGTTTTTGTTTTTTTGAGACAGGGTTTCTCTGTGTAGCTTTCGAACCTGTCCTGGAACTTGCTAGCTCTTGTAGACCAGGCTGGTCTCGAACTCACAGAGATCCACCTGCCTCTGCGTCCCAAGTGATGGGATTGAAGGCGTGTGCCACCAATGCCGGGACATCTGGAGTCTTTGTACACACCTCTCTGCCACACCTCTCTGTGACCCTGGAGGGAGACAGGCTCTGACTGGGAGGAGGCAGTATCTGCCTTCCTGCTTCCTCGTTTTGGATGCTGCGTGTGGCCCCAGGAGCTCCCCCTTCACTATTATCTAGAAGCTTCTCTGACTTGCTCACTTTTCTTTTCTCTTGTTCCTGGTCCAAGTGGGTCACCAGCTGGCCTCAGGGTCCCCTCCAAGCCTCTCTGCTGTTCTCCAGCCTCCGCTCACACAGATGTCCAGCTGTTCTGAAGCTATCTGTGCCAACCCAAGGCCTGTGCCCACGCTGCCTGATGGTTGCCAGGCAGTCGCCCCTTGCCAAGGGGTGCTTGAGTCACTATTGATCGGGCTGTCTGGTGGCCTATGTAAATCTCCTAGAGTGTCTGTCACATGGGTGTCATTGCTTCCACCTTAAGATGAGAGAAACAGAGGCTCAGACAGAGAGGGGCGAAGCTGGCTCATGGTGGGGACAGAACTTGAGCCCAGTGAGGCCAGATGTCTTGCGACCCTCCACCTCTGGGGCTCCCAGAGTCCTGAACCAGAGAGTCTCGTTAGTAAATGCATGAATGAAGGGATGTATGACAGAGAGAGGGAGAGAGAGAGAGAGAGAGATGTCCCAGGTGAGTCCTCACTGTTGGACTCACCCATTCTGCCCTTAAAACTTAACACATCGGCCCCAACACCTGCCATATGGAACCGTGGTGACCGTGTTCCAGGAAGCCATGCTTTTGGGGCCCTTTGATAGCTAATCTTGACTGTCAGCTTGACCACATCTGGAGTCAACTAAAGTCTAAGCAGCTCGACACACCTGTGAAGAATTATTCTCATTTATTTGTTTGTTTTTTGAGACAGGGTTTCTCTGTGTAGCAGCCCTAGTGTTGTGCCCAAGTTGAAAGTCCCGGAGACCACCAGGAAGACAGACCCACTAAACTGCAAAAGCAAGGTTTAATGATTGTTCATCCACTCATGACAGGGACCCTGTCTGGCTAGCTGTCACAGCAGCCTCCAGAGGGAGGTTCCCTGTCTACTGCTAGGTTTTAAAGACAAAAGTTACAGGATTGCATCAGTAGGTATGGGTTGGTTTCTGATTGGTTGACATTTAGGAACAACCAGGAGAATTTATCAAAGTCATATTTTGGCACCAAATACCTGTGCACCAATTATTTTCACTGGTCAGTGCTGAGAAGGAACATTCTGTGGTTTCTATGGCATTGTCTTATTACTTGCAGGTGGCCTGTTGCACATAGATACCAATAGTTTTCAGAACTATATCCTGGAGACTACAGGGGAGGTTTTGGTCCCCCCTGGAGTTTCTTTTGTGACCAAACAGTTCCCAGGAACCAAGCATCTAGGAGGCTGTGGGGAGGGGCATCTGGAGTTTCTTTGTGTTCAGTTTTGGCTCTAGACTCTGGGAGGTCAGAGGATCTGGAGTTTCCTTGTGTCAGAGACCTACATGTCTTTTCTGTAGCCTGTCATGGCTGCTAAAGCAGGGGCTGAGTGAGGGTCTGTTCCCTTTGTTTCTAAATTATTAGAAGTGAAGCTCTTGGCTGGGCGTTGGTGGCGCACACCTTTAATCCCAGCACTCAGGAGGTAGAGGCAGGCGGATCTCTGTGAGTTCGAGACCAGCCTGGACTACCAAGCGAGTTCCAGGACAGCCTCCAAAGCCACAGAGAAACCCTGTCTCGAAAAAGAAAAAAAAAAAAGTGAAGCTCTTGAGTTTAGTTTATCCCTGGAACTCACTCTGTAGATCAGACTGGTCTTGAACTCACAGAGATCTGCCTGTCTCTGCTTCCCGAGTGCTGGGATTAAAATTGTGCCCCACCATCGCCAGGCAACTTATTTTTATTTTACATATGTTGGTATTTTGCCCACAAGTATGTGTACAGGAGTCAGATTCCCTGGAACTGGAGTTGCAGACAGTTGCGAGCTGTCATGTGGGTTCTGGGAGTTGAACCCTGGTCCTCTGGAAGAGCAGCCAGTGCTCTTTTTTTTTTTTTTTTTTTTTTTTTGGTTTTTCGAGACAGGGTTTCTCTGTATTGTTTTGGAGGCTGTCCTGGAACTCGCTTTTGTAGACCAGGCTGGCCTCGAACTCACAGAGATCCACCTGCCTCTGCCTCCCAAGTGCTGGGATTAAAGGTGTGCGTCACCAACGCCCGGCCTGAAGGCTTATTCTTGACTGGGTCCTTTGAGGTAGGAAGAGACCCCCTAGATCTGGGCCACCCACGGTGGCAGCCAGCATAAAAGCATGTGGAAAAGGAAGCGTTTGCTGGTTGCCCTCCTCCCTGACTCTTGCTGGCCCGTTCCTCCATTCAGCTGCTGAGACATCCCTTTGCTGGTGTCAGAGGTCCAGCATGCACCAAAGACCAGCCGAGGCATCCAGCCTCCTGACTGAACAGCTACCGGATTTTTGGTCTTACAGTCAGGAGTCAGCCATTGTTGGTTTAGCCAGAACATAGCTCCATAAGCCATTCTAATAAATCCCTTTTATAAATACATGTATATATAGACTCATTCATCTGTTCTCTGGAAAGCCATGACTGACAAGAGGCCGTCACTTTGCAGGATCCAGGCAACTTCCTGCTGCAGTCTTTGTGTTTCTCAGAGTTGTATAACACAAGGTCTTTGCACCGGGCCAAGGCACAGAGAGGTTAAGTCACTTGCCCAAGTCACACAGTTTGCACATAGCAGAAGTGGGATTTAAATCCAGATCTATCCAAGTCTGTTACTAACATGTCCTCCTGCTCACCCATGGATGAGTTCCCCACATGGATTTCCTGGAAGGGATGCAGAGAGAATGAGCTCATGCCTACCACAGCCTTCAAAGTCTTGGGTACAGCAGTCAGACCCTCAGCAGTGAGGGCTGAGAGCCAACCTAGGTGTCAAGGAAGGAAGCTTCTGGGAGACTGTCCCCCGTTCTGCTCAGGGTGGAAGGGGAGCCCTAAAAGACAGATGTTGATGGCAATGACACATGAATGGAAGGATCTTACGAATGAAGCCGTGAGACTAAGGAGGACAAGAAGATGCTTTTAGGGTAAAAACATGCTCGGGGCCTGAGAGATTACTCAGTGGGCAAAGTCACTTGCTCTGAAGGTATAAGGACTTGAGTTGGAATCCCTAGCACCCACAAAAAGAAGTCAGACATGGTCATGCATTCCCATAATCCCAGTACTGATGGGCAGAGATGGATGGTGCCTGAGAGCTCTCTGGCCAGTCAGCCTGATGAAATTTCAAACTACACACACACACACACACCTTTAATCACAGCACTCAGGAGGCAGAGGCAGGCGGATCTCTGTGAGTTCGAGGCCAGCCTGGTCTAAAGAGCAAGTTCCAGGACAGCCTCCAAAACAATACAGAGAAACCCTGTATCAAAAACCCTGTATCAAAAAACCAAAAAAATAAAATAAAATAAAAAATAAACAGGCATTCAGACAAAAGTACATGTAAAATAAAAGTTAAAAAAAAAAAAAGCTCACCCCAGGCATTGGTGGTACACACCTTTAATCCCAGTGCTTGGGAAGCAGTGGCAGGCAGATCTCTCTGTAAATTCGAGACCAGGTTGGTCTACAGAGCAACTTCCAGGAAGGTTTCAAAGCTACAGAGAGACCTTGTCTCAAAAAAAAAAAAAAAAGGAAAAGAGCCACTTCTCCAGTAGATCCAGAGTGGCCTCCAAGCCAGCCAGCAACTCTCGTTCTTTAAGTGGCCTCTCTGGCTTGGCTCAGTCTTTATGTTTTTGGCACATTAAAATCGTTCATGGGCCGGGCGTTGGTGGCGCACACCTTTAGTCCCAGCACTCTCCGGAGGCAGAGGCAGACAGATCTCTGTGAGTTCGAGGCCAGCCTGGGCTACAAGAGCTAGTTCCAGGACAGCCTCCAAAGCCACAGAGAAACCCTGTCTCAAAACAAACAAACAAACAAACAAACAAAAAATCGTTCACAGTGACCCAAATCCTGGGCCGGGCAGGGGGATGTTGTAAGATGACAATTCTGCCTCACACACTTCTGAATAGAAGCAAAGATGTCCCCAAATGCCATCCCCATCACTCCCCACAATCCCCCAGCCCCCACCATCCCTGCTGGGACTGATTATTGTCGGGCGTGCATGAGTGAATTTTGGGGTCACAGTAGGTAATCGGATCTGGCCTTGCTGAGGCAGGTGACCTGAGGTCCTGGATAAGGGGATTAATCTAAATCTGTCAGAGAAGATATCTTCTCAAGACATCCAGAGAGCCAGTATGTAAAAGTTGAACTTGGGAACCCCCTCCCCATGCTCACAGCTCCCATGCGGTGTGAAAACTCCCATCACTGAGGCCGAGCCCCTGCACTATGGGTGAGAAGCCTAGCTGTCAACGAACCTGGAGGAGGAAGCCGGAAAGGGGGCGTGGCTGGGGTCAGGCCTTCTTCCAAATCACGCTGAATGGATGTCATCGAGTGGGGTACGGGTCCAGTCTGGGCTGGGGATCATGACTTTGTCTGGTAGTCTGTGTGAAGTCACTGCCCTACCACGGGCCTCTGTTTCCTCCCTGTGAAGATGGTCAGCATTGGCTCACCCTCCTCAGCCTGCACTGTGGGCTGGGCTCTGCCGTCCTCTGGGCTCCGCTTTCTCCTTCCTGTGAAATCGATGGTCATGTCAGCATGCTGGCTGTCTCCCGTTTTCCCCGACAAGATATTGACTGATGCTCCTAGGACTGCAAAGAGTCAGATGTTTCCCCTGGCTCTGGAGTCACCCACAAAACAGTCTCTGGGTGGTGGGAAGAGCCCAGAGGCCCTAGATCTTTCCAGAAGTATTTGGGGATTCTGTCTATAAGCTGTCAGCCAAAACAATCACAGGACCACTCAAGACCTCCGTGAGGAATGGGCGTGCACACACATGTCCAGTATTGATGAGTCCTTGGAAAGATCCAAAAATACAGCCTGCCCTTGCCCACAGTCAACCCAGTTTGGCCCTTAATTGGACTTTCCCAAGTCCTCGGTGACTCCCCTGGGTGGGTCGTTGTAGCCCATTTTTCAGACGAGAAACGGAGGCTCAGAACTGGCTGTTTACAGGCTACCAAACTATAGGATGCTAGGTAGGCAGGGATGCCAGGAACAGAGACACAGCCATATAATGATCACAGTCATGAGCACAAGGCCAGTGTGGGCTTGAGGGCCTACCAGGAGGTGTAGGTGATGAAGGCTTCCCATTGGCTGGTTCACATTTGAAAGTAGATATTCACTACTCTACGAGTCAGCTAATCCCAAAGGGCAGTCCCTGACACTGCCAAAGAGTCCCCAAAGTCCCCAAAGGGAAGACTCAGTCACACAGCACCCTTCAAGTCCTGGCTCCATATTTGTGTTTAATCTGTTTGTCTGCCTTAGGGAGAATCTGGTTGCGGTAATGAAATAATCAACAGAGGCTTTAGGAGCAGGAAGGAAGCCTAGAGGCACAAGCCCCAGGTCTTTTTGCCACCTCAGTGGCGGCATCAAACCCCCAGCCCCTTGCTCGCTTTTGCTTTCTCTGCGCGGCATGTGTCATATGGTTCTTCATAGAGTGCCAGGAAGGCTGCCATAGCTCCAGACATCAACACTTTGTCCAGAGGCCCAACAAGGAAGAAAAACATTCTAGTTACTGGTTTCTGTGGACTCCACTGTGATGTCACAGCAATAACCACAAGTTATTAGATTTTTGTAATTTGTTCTGATTCGTGAGTTTAACTAGACAATTTATTCTGTTCCATGGACATTGGCTAAACTGCACACAGCAAGCAGCTGAGTTGGCTGGAAGGTTCAAGAAGGCTTCGTTCGCATGTCTAAGGCTTCACATGGCTTCTCCAGTTGACTACCTAGAGTTTCCTCATCATGGTCTCACGGCAGTCTTTCGTGGTGGCTGGCCTGGCCCCCTCCAGTCCTAGCCAGAAACTGCCCAGGGTGCCCAGCATCATGGGAAATTACAGGTACAGCTCTGACTCCCGGGGAGGCAGACCCTTTTCCTTCTTGATGGGCAGTGTAGCAAAGACGCGGGCGTGGTAGGTCTGTGTTGTCCAAGCCCTGAGCAGTCCTAAGGAAGACATGTCCCTTGCTAGGCTCCTGGGAAATAACATCCCAGCCCCAGAACAGGTACTGGGGGGGGGGTGTTCTCCAGCCTCGTATTTGGGCTGGACCTCTGGATATGCAGGGTCTCTAAGCTCACGTGACTGACCCTTGATAATCACTGCCGATGCCAAGACTTGGTGATATCTTCTAACTTTCAGCAATTTGTGTCACAGGCCAAAGCTTTTTGAATTCAGCGTGGGGGAAGCTCCATGGAACTCTGAGCCTTGTTTTTAATCTTGCTGAGTTTATAGTCTGTTGCAGTGACATCTTCCCTTGCCTGTGACCTTGTAGTGGCAGCCACACCCTTTGGGCGTGGTTTCAGGTGTAGACCTGACCCATTATAAGGTAGAGGAAGGGCTGGCTCATTCTCTCTTGGGTTGCAGAGAGCATCGGAAGGGCAGAGACTGCATCTTCTGGAGCAGGATGACCTCGGCGGCTATTTACTCTTATCTGTGTAAGTGCTTCCCTGATAAACACCTATTAATCATTTATCTTGGGTCTGGTGGACTCATTTAAACCCCCGCCTTCAGTCTGTGTCTTGCCATCATGATATGCCATGACTGGGTTCCTCCAACCTTTCTGAGGGCCTGCTGAGCACAGCTGGTCTAAGCCACCATCACTGGAGAAAGTCTGCAATAGAAAAAGTGGTAGCAGGAGAGTCTAGTTGTCTTGGGGTACCCCTCTGCCAGGACACCTCCTCCTGGCTTCTCTCTAAGTCTAACTTGCTTGGAAGTTTGCCCAACCCTGGTCTCCACATGCTGGGTGTGACCATGGGGGGGTCAGAGTAATCAACCTCCAGGCCTGGGCATGCCCGGCAGGAGCCTAGGAGAAGATGAGCAGGAGGTTTGCGAAGGTGACATGATAGAAGAGGAAGCTTACTTACCCTCAATCCCCAGAGGAGGAAACTGAGGCCAGGAGATGTCGAGAACCTTGTCCAAAGTTTCACAGCTAGCTAGTGGCAGCCCAAGTCTGCACGGCTCTAGGACCCAGCTCTCCAAGCTGTGGTGAGGACGGGACCATAGCACCAGCCTTGGGAGATCCCATGGGAGTGACTGGGCCACCAGGGTGTGTTGCAGAAGGCCACACAAGGGAAGGGACACGTCTGAGCTCAACACATTCCCAGAGAACTAACAAGTTGCTTCTCCTCTATCAAGAAGCACAAGAGGACATTCACTTAAAAGATGCTTGTAAGTCACATTTATTTGTTGGGTGGAGGCAAGAACACACCACAGCACACGTCTGGCAGTCAAAGGACAGCGTTCTGGAGTCAGTTCTCTCCTCTGGGTGGGGCCCAGCGGCTGAACTCAGGCTTGGCAGTGAGTGCCTCTACTGAATGAAAGCTCTGCCCGGCCTGGCACCAACTAGGGCTAGGGATGAGGGACCTGGGTTTGACTGGTGGACCTGAGTAAGGAGCCAGGTGTGGTGGCAGGCTCTTGTAACCCAGGTGCTGGGATGCGGTGACAAGCAGACCCCCAGGGCTTCATGGCCAAACCCAGGTCTTAGGGAAAGACTGTCTGGAAAAGTGAGATATGGTGTTGGGGGTTAGCTCAGCGGTAGAGTGCTCGCCTAGGCCTTGGGTTTAATCTTCAGCTCCAAAGAAAGAAAGAAGGGAAGGAGGGAGGGAGGAAGGAAGAAAGGCAAAAAAGAAAATTCAACCCAGCACACGGGAGGCAGAGGCAGGCGGATCTCTTGTGAGTTCCAGGCCAGCCTGGTCTACAGAGTGAGTTCCGAACAAGTTTCAGTACAGCCTCCAAAAACAATACAGAGAAACCCTATCTCGAAAAACAAACAAACAAAAAAAAAAAAAAAAAGAGGGAGTTCCAGGACATCCAGAACTACACAGAGAAACCCTATCTCGAACAACCAAAAAAAGAAAAAAGAAAAGAAAAATCATTCAGATGGACTGGTGGATGAGATCAGGATCCAGGAACTTTCCCAGATTTAGGAGGAGGAAGGAGAAGGCAGGGTCTTGGATTCAGCCTCCTCCTGATCAGTAAGGAACAGCTCACCACGGGAGGCACAGATCTACCCCATGTGCCACCCCTCAGACCCTGGCTAGCTGGAAGAGGCTGGGAGGGAGTCAAACCCAGGGAACTTAGGGCTTTCCCTCTGCTGCAGGATCCAGTTCACTGTCAGCAACAAGGAGGACAGGCAGGAGCTAGGGATGGCGGGCTGGGAGACACTAGACCTGCAGCTGATGTCTTAGGGCCTCAGCTGAGCTCACTAAGCCAACAAGCTGCATGTCTTGCTTAATCTTCCTGTGAGGCCCCGCCTATTCTGCAATGGATCCTGGGAGTTGTCTTTTTTGGTTTTCAAGACAGGGTTTCTCTGCATAACAGTCCTGGCTGTCCTGGAACTCACTCTGTAGACCAGGCTGGCCTCGAACTCACAGAGATCTGCATGCCTCTGCCTCCTGAGTGCTGTGATAAAAGGTGTGCGCCACCACTGCCCAGCAGGAGTTGTAGTTTTTAAGGCTGTAGTTTTAAGTTCTACTGGTGCTTTCCCAGAAGTGGGAAGGGAGGGAGGGAAGGAGGGGAGAATGGTGTGGTCTCCTTGCTGAGGAGCTGGACAGGGCCAGCCTTTTCTCAGAGGAGCCTGGGGCATCTAGTCCCTCCTGCCACCTCCAGACGGTGGCCAGGTGTCCCCAAGAGTCTTGCAGAGTCACGGACAGCAGCATGGTGCCAAATTGAATTGAATGCTGGCTTCCCTCCCAGCCTGGTCTCTGCCCTCTGGACAGAGTCACTGCTGCTCAGGACACAAGAAGGTCACCTGTTTGTCACAGGGGAAGGTGGGGAGGGGATGTGATGGTCATTCGCAGGGTTTTAGGATAAAGCTGGGGTGAATTAGGGATCAGTTTAGCTACCTGTCTGGACATGACAATTAGAAAGCAGCATGAACTAAAACATAGTCCGTCACTGTGGCCACCCTGGAAAGAAGAGATAAAGGGGTACAGCGACCCCGGGGTTATCTCCTGAGGCACTGATGGGAGCTTTAGGCTCCAATAGAAAAGAATTGGGTTAAGGGCTGACATGCCTGTGTCTGTGAGTTCTACTGTTCCTGGAACTCAAAGTGACTGAAGATTAGGGCAATGGCCGGAGACCTTATTGGGATGGGGCCAGGTGGGGCAGTTTGCAGCAGGGCATTGTGGGAGCTGACCTTCAGATATTTCTTCACTCTTATTTCTGCATCTTCAGACTCTCAGGCCCTGAGCTCAGCCAGGTGGGCAGTATCCTGAGGGATCAACAGACTGGTGAATCAAAGCAGGAGTGCGACCTAAGGAAAAGGGACAAGAGGGAAAGACAGACAGACAGACAGACAGGTAGGCAGGCAGGCAGACAGACAGAAAGAAAGGGGACAATAAAATGAAGGCACAAGGCACAGCATGGTGGCGCATGCCTTCAATCCCAGCACTCTAGAGGCAGAGGCAGGTGGATCTCTAGGAGTCTGATGTCACCCTGGCCTATACAATGAGCTCCAGGACAGCCCAGGCTATACAGTGAGACCCTGCCTCAAAGCAAACAAACAAGAATGAGAAGGTAAAATAAGCAAAATGTAAGGAGGTGTGGGGGCCTACCTTCCTTCCCTCACCAAGTATTGTCGCTGGGGTCGGGACCCGAGGCTGGACTCCCATACTTGATCCCCAATTCTTGTGAACCCCCGTTGAAAGAATTCAGAGCAGTGTGTGGAAAGGGGGCAGGTTTATCACGCAGCAAAGTGGAGAGTGTTCTCCCAGGGTAGGAGTGGACACTGAACCAAGCAACCAAGGCACCCGTGTGTCTCCAGGGAGTGGACAGGAGGCCAAGCACCAAGTCACCATCTACCCTGCAGATGGGCTCTGTGCAGTTCCTTGAGACCCCAGAACACACCAGGCTGGTTTCCCTTAGGGTGACTGACTGGTCCATCTGCGTCTACTGTTACGGGAAGGGACAATCCTAGACATCCTAGCTGTGCCCTTTTATCACTACGCCTGCTGTTAGATAAGGATCTTGCAGGATTTAGACAGTTATTTATTAATGATTCTTAGGACAGGTCTGAGCTTCGTCTCCACCCAGGCGGGAGCTGTGACTCAGAGCCCATTCCTTTGGACTCTAATGAAAGTCCTGAACTTGAAGTTCCAGGTTATACAAGGAGCTGGTGATCCGGGAGGGTGCCGTATTCTTAGCCTGCATCCCCAGTGAATATCTGAAGAGGATCTCACACCAGTTTCCCTCATGATTGCAAGAGAGCTGCCAGCTCTTTTTCATTCTCAGAGACAGCAAAGAGCCTTCCTCTAAACTTGGACTGTGGGCCTCTCCTTTGCTTCTGATGAGAAGCCACTGCCATCCCTGTGGCAGACTCCAGGAATCTGCAATGTTCTTGGTTCGAGGATTGGCCAGGGCAGGCTGGTTTGGCAGTCTGACCCTGATGGAGACTCCGTGTGAGAGTCAACTGGGTGAACCAGAATCTGCTAGAGGATTCTTTGCATTTGTTTGAGTGTGCCTGTGATCCTCACCGGCAGAGGTGGGTGAGGGTCGGGACCCCTCCCCTCCTGACCCTCCCACGGTTTGCCCAACTCTCTGCATCCTGGCTCTGCTTGCACCCAAGAAGACCGCGAGGGTAAACCTTCTCCTGGAGGCAGGCATGTTTCTAACCACTGACCACCCAGCTGTGAGTCAGCAGCCTAAACAGCAGTAACAAGGGTGGGAGCTTCCAGATGGTGAAGGAAGTCATTCCCTAGCATGCGCGAGAACCTAGGGTCAATCTCCAGACAGATAAATAAATTAAGTTAAACTCTGAAAACGAGTCTAGTTAGGTCCCTGGGCTACAGAAAGGAGGCCTTTAGTGGAGAAGCAAGGGGACAAGAGAGAGTGGCCCAGGGAGGGGATGGGCTTGGTGGCCGGGACGATCCCTTGTCTCGGTTAACCAACCTGAGAATGAATGATGTGGGGGTAGCCCAGGAGTGCGTTACCCTTTCCCCTCTGAGAAACTGCGGGTTCCCAGTGGGTCCTGTGGCCTCGGCTGTCCATAGAGAACGTGGGTCGCCACTGTCACAAAGGCTCGTGTTCCAGGGCAGAGAACGCCGGGTGCGGAGCTGGCTGCAGCCCAAACGCAGCCGCGGTCTACCCGGAGCCACGGGAGCCGCGGGTGGTAAGTTCGGTGCACACAGCGCCCCCTTCTGGGGAAGAGCGGAGCTGGGAGCTGCCGCGAGCCTGGGGTTGCCACTGCCGCCACAAATGCTCCCCAAACCCAAAGATCTACATGTCCTCTCAAGCGCCCCCATATTTGTTTATTTGTCATTGATTCCAATTCATTCAGTTGTCTGAGACATGCTCTCATATGTCACAGGCTGGCTTCGGAACTCGCGCAGCAGCCAAAGATGACTGTGACATCTGATCCTCCTGCCTCCACCTCCCAAGGGCTGCGATGGCAGGCCAGCGCCATCATGTCCGGCTTTACTCTTGTTTTAAAACAGACCGTGCCACACACCCAGGGTCCCTGCAGAACCCACCTTGTCATTTAAAAGCAGGGAGGAAGCGTGGACTCCCTCCCTGTCCCAGTTGTTAGATGGGAGATGGTAAAGACGCAGCTATCAAAATGGGAGGTGTTCAAGGGGGCCTGGGTAACTCAAGGTGGGTTCGGGAAGCTCCAGGAGCTGTCAAGATATGGCCCCGTGGCTGTGACCTCCTCGCTGTAAGAATCTTCTAGCATTACTGTCCCTTCAGTATGATTTACCAAACTCCAGTCATCCCCATAGTCTCCATGACATCTTGGAACAACAGCTCGCACAAGCTACTGGATGCCTTGGGGCTACATTTTCCTTGCTTCTCAGCCTTCTGCCCAGAATCCCCCTCTCCTACTCGGCTCAGCTTATTCAGACTCAAATGTCTTGTTGGAGCCTTTCCCACTCTTTGACCCTGGGCTACCTTTGTAGCATCTTGAGATGACTGCCGCTTGGGTCCCCATAATATCCTGCACACAGTAGGCGCCGTTGGTATGCCAAATCGACTTGCACATGTGTACTGCCAGAACTCTGGTGGCTTACAAGCCCCAGAAAAGTCACTTCAGATTGCTTTCAGGAAAGGTCCCAGAGGCATCTTCCGGTCTGGCTTTGGTGTCTATGGTTTGCCTCTCCACCTTAGCTTGATTCTTAGAGCCCTGTGGAGATCTGTCCACACGCGCCTGACCTCAGGTGCCCAGGTTAAAAGTCAGCCTGCGCCAGCCTGAGTTGCTGAACTTTTTTTCCCGGGGCCCACTCTAGTGGGCCGAGATTATGCAAATTAGATGAGGGCTTCGCACTGATTGGCTCCTACCCTCACCGCTTTCCAGAGTGGAAACCAAGGTTCCAGATGCACTCGAGGTTCATCAGAACTGGGGAGGAATTGGAATGGAGAACGGGGGTTCCACATAGGATCCCTCAGTTCCGGGACACAGTGGATCTCACAGCCCTTTGGGGCTTATTAGGCTCATGTCCCCTCGCCAGAGTGCCTCTGGCAGGTGACATTCAAGTTCTGATGTTATTGGTTCCTGACCTGAGAGGAGGGGGCCCCAGTGTGTGTCTGTGTGTCTGTGTCTGTGTATCAGTGGACCTTGCTTGCCCAGCACACATAAGGTGCTGGGTTCGATATTTAGCACCACGTAAATTGGGTGTGTTGGCATACACCTATAATGCCATCACTTTGGAGGTGGAGGCAGGAGGAGGATCAGAAAGAAGTTCAAGGTCATCCTTGGATACATATTGACTTTGAGGCCAGCCTGGGCTAACAAGTGACCTTATTGCAAAATCAAAAGCCCAAAAAGCTCCACCAGGGTGCTCAGCATCTGAGGCCTTCAGGGATGTGGGGAGAGGGGTGAGTGACAGGCTGGAGCCATCTGCCCAGGTCCTAATAATAAACTGGGAGAGGAAGACGGTCCAGGCACTCTTGGCTGTGGGGGAGGGGCTCTCGTCACACCCAGCACCATCTGCCATGTCCCCTTTGCGTGCCAAGCTGTGGGCGGAGGAGGGGACTGTGAGGACGGAGGGAGGCCCATGGGTCCTCACTGCCAGCGAGGGTGGTCCACTTCCTTTTCTCTTCTCTTTACACTGGGCAGGACATTTCTGAGAGACAGAGAGACAGACAGAGAGAGAGAGAACGAGAGAGAGAGAGAGGTGGGCTTGCTGGCCGTGACCTCCAGGACCCCGTCTTTAAGCTGAAGGGAAGCTCAGATCCATCCCGATGCCAATGGTAGGTGATGACAGCTTCCTGTGCCATCTCGTCCTACCCTGACACCTCATCTCTGGGTACCAACTTTATAGACGGGAGGCTGGAAGTTCAGAAACACTCCGTGACTTTCCCAGTCTCAAAGCAGAGTAGCATTTGAACTCAGGGCCCTAAAGAGCACCTTCCCAACTTGGGCAAGGCACCCCCGCAGCGAGTGCGACGGTCACCTGGCAGCCCTGGGTGGGTCTCCCCTGTGACAGACAAGCAGATGACATCACCCTGGGGCGGACGTCCCCCTCTCGTGGGAGCCACCTGAGGGCTTCTCTGACCAGCTGGGCCTCCTTGCTCTCCATCTCGCCCAGGTGAAGAAACACAGGAGGAAGGTCTCTTTAGCCCTTCCGGAACTTTCCAACAAGGCCAAAGAGCAGCTGGCCGAGGCAGAGCTCAGGAAACTGAGGCAGCAGTTTCGTAAGATGGTGGACAGCAGAAAGTCCCTCAATTTTCGGAACCAGCGCATGATCGCCAACCAATAGTAAGAGGGGTGACCCCGGGCGGGCCTCGTCCCCAGCGTGTGCAGGGGGCACCCTGAACCCACGGCGGGGGTCGGGGACCTTTTACCCTGTGCTCTAGGACTTCACAGGAGGGCACCCAGCGAGCAGGACCCAAGGGGTCTTGGAGTCCCCGGGAGACAGGTGGCCCTCCACCAGACCCCATGTTCCCTCTGCCCCCAGCCAGGGCCTTGAAGACACATCCTCGCTATCAGTCCCAGACCCAGCATAGGGACAACCTGATTGGCTCAGGCGTCTACTCCTGTCCAACCAGCTGTGTCAGTGACGGGGCGGGGCCAGAGGATGCCTCGGGGCGTGGCCATCCTCCAGCGGGCGCAGCCAGGGATGTTCCCACGCTGCCTCCACAGGGCCCCCAGCCTTTTGCAATTTGAGGGACCCGGCTGTGAGTCGCTTTCTGCAAAGGCAGAAGCCGGCCTCCATGCACCCTCTCTGTCTGGATGTTTGGAATTCAGAGGAGGGAGCGGAGGTGTTCCTTGGTTTCCCGTAAATCTGTTTACTCCCGGCTAGGCTGGTCCCTAGGGAACGTCTCTGTCAGAATTTTTTTTTTTCGAGACAGGGTTTCTCTGTATTGTTTTGGAATCTGTCCTGGAACTCGCTCTGTAGACCAGGCTGGCCTCGAACTCACAGAGATCCGCCTGCCTCTGCCTCCCGAGTGCTGGAATTAAAGACGTGCGCCACCAATGCCCGGCTCTGTCACAATTTTTAAAAGAAGTCTTTTGCCCAGAGCGCTTTACTTCCTTCTCTTGGGAAAGTGCTCATAGAACGAGAGGAAATGTCTCAGGCTGGGGAGACGGCTCAGCCTGACTCCAAGTCTGAAGGCCTGAATTAGATCCCAGAGACCCACAAGGCTAGAAGTACAGAACTGAATCCCACGCTGGTTTTTGACCTGCACATGCGCACGTGCTAACACCCACGCATGTATTCACACATGCACAGTGTAGCGTGCTGAAACCCACGCACGTGTTCACACGTCATGCACAAATAAACACACGTTGAAGAAAGAAAGAAAAAGGTGAAGACTGGAGAGACGGCTCAGCGGTTAAAAGCACTTGTTGCTCTTGAAGGTCTGAGTTCGGTTCCCAGCACCCACATCTGTCTTCCTGACACCTCTAGCTCTAGCCCCAAGGGCTCTGTCACTCTCTTCCAGCCTCTACAGGCACTCCTTCCATACCCACTCCCATGTAAATAAAAATGACAGGATAATTACATTTCCAGGAGTTGGCGGCACACACCTTTAACCCCAGCACACAGGAGGCAGAGGCAGGCGGATCTCTGTGAGTTCGAGACCAACCTGGTCTACAGAGTGAGTTCCAGGACAGCCTCCAAAGCCACAGAGAAACCTTGTCTTGAGACCCCCCCCCAAAAAAAACCCAAGGTCCCTCTCCAGGAGGGAGCAAAGTGCCAGAAGCCTTGGAGAAAACCAGCTGCTAGGTTTACCACATGGCCATGCATGGCCTCTGAAATGGTATTGAGTTAAATAAAATGAGGTATTTGAGTCTTGGTGCACAGCAGAAGTGGGTCAGGGGTTCTCTAGTCTCGTGACAGTGCAGGGGCAGGACCTTGGTCCCTTGTTGTCTTTGTAGATTGTCCAGTTAGTTTCATCTCTGGACCATGGTGCACTAGCTGCTGCTTTTGTTGTTGTTGTTGTTATTCCAGACAGGGCTTCTCTGTGTAGCCCTGGCTGCCCGGCTGTCCTGGAACTCGCTCTGTAAACCAGGCTGGTCTTGAACTCTGAGATCCACCAGCCTCTGCCCTCTGAGCACTGGGATTAGAGGTGTGCACCACCCATCTTGTTCTTTTGAGACAATGCCTCTCGTCAGCTAGGAGCTCCCTAGCTAGGAGAGACTGGAGGAAACAGCTACCTCAGGCGTCCTCCTGCCTTCACGTCCAGCGCCTGACTTTTTGCACGGGTGCTTGGATGGACCTCAAGTCCCCGTGCTCACACAGGACACACTTTAACTTTACTGCCTGGTCATCACCCCAAGCCCTGCACCCACTCCCGACTCCCCTGAAGGGCTTTGACGGGCACCAGGGCAGTCTTCTCCTAGCGAGTGGAGAGATGGGAATGACTGGGTTCAGGGGCATGGGGTTCCATATGTGGACCCAACTCCCCATCCCTGAAGCGTTTGCATCTCATGGGGGCCTGGACCATACCCCAGGCTCCTTTTTGGGGAGGGGGATACCCTGTGGCTTCTGTGAAGGCGGTTAAGGGGCTGCTGGGTTAAGTCAGAACTGCTTCCCCTCAGTAAGGAAATTGAGAATCTGAAAGCCGAGCAGGCAGAGACTACCCTGCTTCTGAGCCTCGTGAAGTCTCCAAAGAACCTCGACCTGAACCAGAAAAACTTCATGGAGCTGCGTTTCCTACTGCAGACCAAGGGGGACTATGAGGCTCTTATCACCTCCATGAAGGTGCTGCTGGGAGAGCTTGATGACAAGGTGAGGCTTCCCTGGGAGACTGAGAGAAGGGACAGGCGCAGCACACCCATGATGCCCTAGGCAGAGTGGAGCATAGCATGGGAGTTCATCAACCCTGCTTGTCCCCTCGCCACCTCAAGCCCAGAACCAACCCCAGCACCCTTAGCATCAACCGACACGGGCAAGGCTTCGGTGCTGCAACAAAGATCCCCGCTGGTTTTGGGTGATGCTCGTTCCCCGTCCTTCACTGTGCACCAATCGTGGGTGAGTGAGGAGGCTGTTATCGTTTGGTTCTGTCACCGAGACGGTGGCTAGCATCTCTCTGGAACATTGCCAGATGTTATGCAAGAAAAAAGCCTTCTGGATAGTCTCATGTAGGCCATGGGAGGCACTTGTCATTCTGAGCATGATTCCTTGGCTCAAAATAGTCGCTCAGCACCACCCATCATGGTGCAACCCTCCTGGATGGCGGTGATGGCCAGGCCTTGCTGTGTCCCAGTCCTTCCTCATAGGAAAAGGAGCTTACCCTGAGCTAGTGTGCTTTGGAAGTATGTAACTTTTTAATTTATTTGTACTTATTTATTTCTGAGACATATATTTGTAGTCCTGGCTAGCCTAGAATTCACTCTGTAGACCAGGCTGGCCTTGATCAGACATCCTGACTTGTGGGGCTCCTGCCTCTGCCTCCCAAGTGCTGGGATTAAAGGTGTGTGTCATCACACCCAGCCACCCGTACTCTTGTTTTATTTTTTGGTAAGGTTTACTTTAATTGTGTATATGTGCCTGTATCTGTGTGTGAGTGCGTGCATTGGATCCTCTGGAGCTGAATTACTGAGGTGGCTGATGTGGGTGCTGGGAACCGAACTTAAGTTCTCTGCAAGTCCCTGGGGATGGAACTTAGGACCTTGTGCATGGTAAGCAAGCTCTCCATCGCTGAACCCTGTTTCTAGTCTTTTATTTATTCATTTTAAACCCAAATGGTGCTTGAGTTAGATGATCAAATAGCATATGACGCTAAATCCAAATGCATTTTTATATTTGAACACTCTGGCCCAATGTATCTAAAAGGCCCAGTGAAGTAAAAGACCCCACAGTCACGTTTGTGTTTTCCGAGCCACAGCGCCTCTGTGGAAACTAAACTCCAGCTGTTTAGCACCAAGGCAGTGGCCACAGGCAATATAGAAGTGACTGGCTTTTCCAATAAATCTGTATTTGTAGCAATAAGCCGTGGGCCAGTTTCCAAAAGGCTGTAGTTTGCAGCCCTTGGTGTAATTGATGCAGTGAGAGACTGTACACATGTGAAAGTCATCAAGGCTTTCGCTGGGTGTTGCTCTGCAGTGTGGGCTTCTTGTGTCTGCAACTCCCAGAACCCCATCCATGCAGTGCTGAAGGCCTGGTTTTATATTTACTTATTTATTTAGGTTTTTTGAGACAGGGTTTCTCTGTGGCTTTGGAGACTGTGCTGGAACTTGCTCTTGTAGACCAGGCTGGTCTTGAACTCAGAGATCTGCCTGCCTCTGCCTCCTGAGAGCTGGGGTTAAAGGCATGCACCACCACCGCTCAGCATAGATGGCCTGATTTTTAAAGTAAGGACCAAATCATGGGAAAGCTCCAGACACATCAAAGGACAGTCTTCCCATGATGTGTACAGTGACACCACGTCTGGTGACTTCTGTGAGAGCACCCCCATCCCATTCATTTGAAAAATATTTATCTTTATTTCATGTTCATTAGTGTTTTTGCCTGCATGTAGGTCTGTATGAGGGTGTCGGATCCCCTAGAACTGGAGTTACAGACAGATGTGAGCTGCCCTGTGGTTGCTGGGAATTGAACCCAGGTCCTCTGGAAGAGCAAGCCAGCGCTCTTAACTGCTGAGCCATCTCTCCAGCTCCCCAATCCCATTCATAAGCAGAGAAACTGCACATGTAGGGAATGTCCAGATGGGTACTGAGAAGTCACAGTGGTGCCACCAAAGCAGCTGGAGGTGTTCTATGCCCACACTCCAGCTTCTCCTTAGTTTAGTTAGGTTAGCAACCAAGTTTTACTACCACAGAGGCCAATGCCATTTCCTTTAGAAACCATGGCTGTTGGGGCTGGACAGATGGGGAAGTTTCGGTTCAACAGTGGGAAGATTCACACTCCTGCCCCCCCATGGGTGAGGCCAAATTGATTGGGGTGGGGTCACGGAGCCAAGTCAGAGCTCTGTCTACAGGATCTCACATTTGCTTTAGCCCATCCCTGTGGAATGGTTAGTCTATGCCAGGTGGGGCAGACGGACGCTGGTGCAGTGCAATGCTCCCAACCCCCGTCTCTCTCTCAGATTGTTCAGATGGAGAGGAAGATTACCAGCCAGAGACAGAGCTTCCTGAAGACAAAAGAGGCCAATAACCCTCAGAAGCTGCAGAAACAGATCCATGTTCTGGAGACCCGACTGAACCTGGTAGGTGAGGGGCTGCTCTCTGAAGTCTTGGCACCCCACCCCTACCCTCATCCCCCCACCCCTACCCTCACTCCACCCCTACCCTCACTTTCACATCTTACAAAATGAATAGTGTGTTAATATTTCTCAAAACCTGATCTGTACTGATATTTTTCTGGTCAAACCCAAATGTTGTGGGTTTTTTGTTTGTTTGTTTTTTTGTCTTGTTTTGTCGTGTTTAGTGTTTTTGAAACCTGGTCTTTCTACATGGCCCTGACTGCCCTAGCATTCACTATGTAGACCAAACTGGCCTCAAACTCACCAAGATCTGCCTCCCAAGTGCTGGGATTAAAAGCGTCTTTTAGAGATTTGATTTGATCAAGACCCCTGGAGTTTTTGAATTCTCAAATCTCCTCAACTTAAAATTAGGTGCTCTTAATCAGGGGTGGCTTTGCCTCCAAAGGGATGAAGGAGATACATCATTATAGTTGGGCTGGGCTGTGTGCTTCAGGCACTCAGTGGGCAGCAGCAGGGCCCTGACATCTTCCAGGACCATCCAGTCTGGGAATGAGACCCTGTTTGAAGCACAGCCTCCCCACAGGTTACTGTCCACTTTGACAAGATGCTGACCTCCAACGCCCAACTCCGGAAGGAGATTGAGGATCTCCTCTTTGAGAAGGCCGCCTATGACCACGTTTACCAGCAGCTCCAACGGCGTCTGCAGACACAGAAGAAGACCATGAATGTAGCCATCGAGCAGTCTGCCCAGGCCTATGAGCAGAGGTGCTTGGGAAGGCCCACCTCCCAACTCAGCACCCATTTGCTCCTCTTAAATGCCAGGACCATAACTCACAACAGCTGCAGCCCTGGACACTGACCGTCAGGGTGTCATACACCTTGGTGTGCCCATCGTCTTCCCCACAGCACGAGGAGTTAGTGTCTTCCTTCTTCTCAGAACAAATAGGGAGTCTGTGCAGATAGGGAGGCTGGGACTGCAGCTCTCTGTCCCCTACGTGGTCCCTGGTCCTGGTCTGGGGGTGTCTTTATCCAAGTCTTTCCTGGCTATGGAGAAAACAGGTCTTAGAGTCAGACGTGTCTGGGGATGACTCCTCCCTCCCTCCCTTCTGCATTGTGGTAGGATCCTTGTAGGTGGTAAGGAGCAGAAACTAATCCATGAATGAAAAGAATAAGTAATGATGAAGATGATGAAGGTGATGATGGTGGTGAGGATGATGGTGGTGATGGTGATGGTGGTGAGGATGATGGTGGTGAGGATGATGGTGGTGAGGATGGTGGTGGTGAGGATGGTGGTGGTGAGGATGGTGGTGGTGAGGATGGTGATGAGGATGGTGGTGAGGATGGTGATGGTGAGGATGATGATGAAGGTGATGATGATGGTGAGGATAGTGGTGAGGATGATGGTGGTGATGAGGATGATGGTGGTGAGGATGGTGATGATGATGGTGAGGATAGTGGTGAGGATGGTGGTGATGAGGATGATGGTGATGAGGATGATGGTGGTGAGAATGGTGGTGATGATGAGGATGATGGTGATGAGGATGATGGTGAAGATGATGGTGATGGTGAGGATGGTGAGGATGATGGTGAAGATGATGGTGATGGTGATGATGGTGAGGATGATGATGAAGGTGATGATGATGGTGAGGATGATGGTGGTGAGGATGGTGGTGGTGATGAGGATGATGGTGGTGATGGTGATGGTGGTGAGGATGATGGTGATGAGGATGGTGATGGTGAGGATGATGGTGATGGTGGTGGTGGTGATGATGATGATGAGGATGGTGAGGATGATGGTGGCGATGGTGGTGATGGTAATGATGATGGCCGTGATGGTGTTGGTATTGATACTGGTTATGATGGTGGTGATAGCGGTGGTGATTGTGTTTGTGGTGGATGATGGGATTGCTGAAGTAGCTGTTGCTAACAGTAGAGAGGGTGTCAGGAAAGTTACTTCCTAGGGGTGGTCTAGACTCACAGCTCTGGTAGGGTCCTGAGTTTGGTGCTCGCCACCAGAAAAAAAATTACAAAGGACCTCAAACAAACCCATGCCCACTGGGCAGGCAGTCAGTCCTCTGGACACTAAGCCCCATCTGCCATCTCCACACAGGGTGGAAGCCATGGCTCGGATGGCCGCCATGAAAGACCGGCAGCAGAAGGACATCTCTCAGTACAACCTGGAGATCCGTGAGCTGGAACGCCTATATGCTCACGAGACCAAACTCAAGTCTTTCCTGCTTATCAAACTCAACGACCGTATTGAATTCGAGGAACAGGCCAAGAAGGGGGAAGGTACAAGCTTACCTTCTCCCCTACCTCTCCCCAACCCTCTCTTTCTCTCATAGTAGGGCTGCCAATCATAGTCAATAAAAACAGCACACTTGGTTAACCTTGAGTCTCAGGTTAACGGTGAACACACTTTTAGGATAGTTTGTGCCATGCAGTACTGGGGATGCCTCTCCTGAGAGACGTTTGTTTCTTACCTGCACTGAGAACTTATTTTGACTGTTGGAAGTGCAGCTGGCTTGTGATTCGTATGTAACGGCTTGCCTGTGTTTTGTCTGCCAGCAGCAACCGGGTAAAAAGTCCTTTCACCCTGAGACTGTCTGTGGCTTAGGGGGAGACTTGAGGACCAGGGGTCTACTAGATCCTGTCTAGGTCTGATGGCTTTCTTGGAGTCTCGTCAGGACTCGGCCTATGTGAAACGGTAAAAAAGTAAAATAGTCAAATGGAAAAGACACAAAGGGGGTGAAAACTAGGGGCAGCTGCCCAGAAGGTACATTCAATCTTTGTTTTTTAGGTTTTAGGGATTGAGTCCAGGGCCTGTGCAATTAAGTATGCGCCCCCTGGGCCACACCCACCCTTCTGTATGTTCTGTGTCTCCCGCCTTTTCCTGCCTTATCACTTGGGACTGTGTTGCTACAAGTGTTCCTGGGAAGTCTCGTGTATGTCTTATTCCCTAAAATAAATCAAAGGCCACAAAGAGATTTTTTTCTTTCTTTTTTTTCTTTTTTAATCTTTTAGGCCTTCTTTTCATCTATCCATCTCCTCACCTCTCTCATCCAAACCACCGTTCAGTCATCCACTCTTCCACCCGTCAGCCACCTGTCCATTTACAGCTAGTCTGTGCAAGCCTCTACTCCAGGCGCCTGCCATGCATGGTTCCCATGTGGCCCTTGGGATTACGCCAAAGAATGGGCATTCCTACAGCACCCCAGCTCCAGAAAAGGATCCCGCAGCTCAGAGTAACACATGACCTAGCCAAGGTGTCCACCCCAGATATGTCCACTGCGGTCAGTCTTAATGCCGGGGCTGCTCGAGACCACACAGTCATACTCGAATCAGCATCTCAGTGAACCTGGAGTGCACTGGCCCAGCTCTGCTGGTGGCCGCCGAGCCCCAGGGAATCCACCTGCCTCCCCCTCCCCAGGTTGGGATTTCAGGCAGACATCAGCACACTCAGCTCTTCGCCCGTTCTGGGGTTCGGCCTCAGGTCCTTGGCTTTGTGCCGAGAACAACTCACCAGCTTTCCCAGCCTCTCTTCAGATATTTCTGATGTGGGTCACAAGCAGAATGAATTGCCTCATCTCCTGGCAGCGTCTCACCCTGTCCCCAAGACAGTGGTGAGGACGGGGAGCCCATGTCCCTTTCCACGCCCCCATCCCCCTGCAGTTGTCAAGTCCAAGAAGCATGGGAAGAAGAGCAAGGGCGAGAGCTTTGAGAGCTATGAGGTGGCGCACCTGCGGCTGCTGAAGCTGACGGAGAACGGGGACCTGAACCAGCTCATGCGGGACTTCCTGGCCAAGGAGGAAAAGAACTTTGCGCGCTTCACCTACGTCACCGAGCTCAACAATGACATGGAGACCATGCACAAGAAGACCCAGCGGATCCAGGTACATGGCTTGCAGGGCTGGGGTGGTCCCTGACATAGCCACTCGCCCTGCAGACAACGTCCACGTGCCCTGATCCTGACAGTGAGTTCATGTCCCTACCCCAATCATGACAGTCACCACCGAGGCGGGGCAGGTGCCATCGACTCTGGGCTGTGAGCTAGGATGGCACTTTAAAAATTTCTTTTATGGGTATGGATGTTTTGCCTGTGTACCACGTGCCTGCAGTACCCACAGACGCCAGACTAGGGCGCCATATGCCCTGGAACTGGAGATGGGTTGGCCCTACCCTGTGGGTGCTGGGAATCAAACCCTGGTTTTCGCTGCAAGAGCAGCCGGTACTCCTAACCTCTGAGCCATCACCCCCGTTCCTCTACTTTGTCCTCGGAGACAGAATCTGTCAGTAGGGTTTGGTAAGCTATGCTGTCTAGATATGGAGCCCAGGGACCCTTCTGTCCCCCCATCTCCCATACTGGGGTTACAAGTGCTTGCCACGATGACCAGATATTTTTGCATGGGTTCTGGGGATCGAACTCAGGTCCTGCCACCTTGGGCTTCAGAGTGGGAGGGAAATGGTTAATGCTTATCTTGACCAGGCCCCTGGCAAGGCCCGACTGCCTTTACCAAACCTGGTCCGTGGGCCTCCTCACTCCCACAGCACAGACGGCTTCTGGACTCGAACACCTGCCCAGGACAGAGCCCAGGCTACCTGATGTCATGTGGCAGCCCATCAGGACCTGGCTGACAGCCGCCTTTGTGGCCCAGTGAGGGCTCCCAGGGCCCCCTGCAGTGGCCGCCATTCCTAGCTGTGTTACACACCCCTCCCCCAGTGGGTCCCTGTGACTGCTCCCCGCCCCCACACCCTTTCCTTAGGCCCCCAGCTCCTTAGGCCTGGCCCTGCCCGCTGTCCCCTGAGGAATTCCTTGTGCCTCCCCATGAGGCCCGGCCATGTTTGTGGAGGCAAATTCCCATCTGTGGGGTATGAGGAGGCCAGGGTACGAGTCCCTGTCTTTCCCTGTTGTTCAGGGTTAACTGGCCTGTCGCTTCCCAGGGCTCTGCTGGATTATCCTCACTCCTGCCAGGACCGTTACCCTGGGGCCCTGGCTACCTTCTTGTTTTGCTTAGTGTTTTTTTTGAGACGAGGCTTCACTAGGTAGCCCAGGCTGGCCTGGAACTCACAGTAATTCTCCTGCCTCAGCTTGGAGTCACCAGGAAGCATCTTTGCTCAAACTAGGATTTGTTTTTTTTTTTTTGTTTTGTTTTGTTTTTTTAGGCTGAGCCGGCGGCCCCTCACACCCCATTGTACACACCTAGCTTCCCCTCTCCTGGGAACTGGGCCCATCCTCTGTGCTCTCCTGTTAGGATTTGCTCAGTAATGTTCAATAACTGTCAGCGTGTAAGAAGCAGAGCATTCCACACAAAACCCCAAATTTCTAGTTTCTCTGGGGACATCGATTCTGACACAAAGCAGCAATTTGTGTAGGCCACTGTGGACTTTGAGTGTATTGCCAGCGCCCTCTGGTGGCTGTGTGCAGTATGGCAGGAAGGTCTTTGTGGTCCAGGCTGTTCTGGGAAGAGCGCTGGGCTGGAAATGTTCACAACACAGAGACCTTTGAGGGCTTGGGGATAAGGTGGGATTTCCCTCTGTTGGCCTCAGTTTCCCTGTTTGCATTGTAGCCCACGGGCTTTTTGTTTCCTTTGCTTTGGGGAACTGTAATTTAGAGTTTGGGGCTCGTGTCTGTTGGGGACATGCTGCACCCCAAACTGCACGTGTCCAGGCCCTGCAGCACACCGTTTGCTCCCCAGACGGGCAGTTAGCCATTGTGTGTGTGTGTGCCACCCCCCAGTGGATGATCTGCCACCTCTCAGAAAGTTTGTGAGGCTACCTGTGCCAGAATCTTCCATTATCTCTTGAGATGAGGCCGGGGATGAGGACTTCTGTGTCACTCTGTGACTGGTCAGAAAGGCCGGGTCTCTGCCTATCTCCAGACCTGGAACTTGAGTGACCCTGGACATCTGACTCGGATTCTTGTGAGAGCTTGAGAGACCCTGGGCTAAGCAGCTGGGTCCTGTGAAGACACCGTTAGTGGCACGTGACTGTTTAAATTCCTTACACTGCAATACAACTAAAAACCCCAGATGCCCAGTGGTGGGAACCATGTTTCCAGTCCTAAGGGCCCACGATGTCTGGTGACCACAGAATTAGTGCTTGTAGAATGTGAAGGGTTGAGTTGATTGATCTGTTCTAGATGGTTCTAAACCTGTGGGCCACCTAAGACCATCAGAAAACACAGATATTTACACTATGATTCCTTCCAAGATCAGACGAGATTGGGCGCGTTCAGGTTGGTATGGCTGTAGACTACACTATGATTCCTAATGGTAGCAGAATGACAGTTATGAAGTAGCAGTGACAATCATTTTAAGGCTGGAGGTCACCACACCATGAAGGACTGTGTTAAAGGGTGGCCACATTAGGACGGCTGAGAACCGCCGCTCTGGATAGTTCTGGATGATTCTCAGGGAGGATGAAGGAAGGCACTCCTAGGAGTAGGAGCCGGTAGGGTGAGGCCCCTTGACGGGCTACCCAGCACTGGAGTGGGGGAGGGCGGCTGCCACTTTTTCCTCACCGGTCCCTTCTGTCCTGAGCAGGATGACATCATCAACCTGCGGTCACAGCAGCAGTCTTCCCACCAGGACACCCGGAACATTCTGAGACAGATGGAGGTGAGCTGGGTGTGGAGGGAGGGATGGGGAACCTCCTCTGTTGTCACCTGTCCGCCAGGTGGCCTGTCCTGACACCACTGCAGAATCTTGTCCCTAATGTCTGTCTGTTATAGAGATGAGCTCCTTTTCAGGGGGTTGAACCCAACCCCTGAGGCCCCAGCTTCATCCTGACACATCTTTGCCTCTGTTTCCCCTTTTGTCTCCTCGGTGGCCCAGCCCCACCATTTTCCAGTAGTGATAATGACCACAGTCCAACCTCCTACATCCTTTCCCTCTCCATATCCCTGCCTCTCTGTGCCAGGAGTCACACCCGGGACCTCCTGCACGCCAGCTCCCCCCTCTACCGCACCCCACAGGCAAACACTTCCTGGGCTGGTCGGTAGACACCGGGCTGTGTGTGCTCCTCTGGCCCCGCCTCCCTTCGCCACCCTGGGGAGCAGGTGTCACTCGTGATCTTCACATTTTTCAGGCGAGGAAACAGGCTGGTAGAGGTAAAAATGGCTTGGCCAACCCCAGGGAGCCGAGATATCCTGGGGTGTGGGTTTATTTGGGGGGAGCAGGGTCTCACTATGTAGCCCTGGTGGTCTGGGGTTCACTATGTGCACAAGGTTGGCTTCAAACTCATAGGATCACTCGTGCCTCTGCCCCCCAGCGCTGAGATTGAAGGCATGCGCCAGCTCCTCTCCCCTGCTGGTACCCTAGGAGTCTGAGAAAACCAGACGTTTATTTTTCTGTTAAAGAAGCTGAAAATCGGCGCTTCCAGGGTGGGTGTGTCATTGTGATGTCACCTGCCGCCCAGCCTCCTCTTGGTGTGTGGTTTCCATTCCAAGGATGCCTGGTGGTTGTATCCCTGGCCCAGCCATCACTCACAGCTTCAGGCAGGAAGAAGGTGGGCTGTAGCTGGAGTTTCATTCCAGCCTGGTCCTACAGCTGTTTAGCTCCAAATGAACACACAGAGGGCCGGGTGTTGGTGGCGCACACCTTTAATCCCAGCACTCGGGGGGCAGAGACAGGCGGAACTCTGTGAGTTCAAGGCCAGCCTGGTCTACAAGAGCGAGTTCCAGGACAGCCTCCAAAGCCACAGAGAAACCCTGTCTTGCAAAACAAAACAAAACAAAAAAGAACACACAGAGGCGTCTATTAATTATAACCTGTTTGGCTGATGACTTAGGTTTCTTATTGACTAGCTCTGTCTTCATCAGGAACCCATTCCCGCTAGTCTAAGTATTTCCGCGTGGTCTTATCTTACTGGAGAAGGGTCCAGGTCTTTTACTCCTGTCTCCATGCCACCCCTCCTGCTTCTCTCTCCTCCTCCTCCTCTCTCTCTCTCTCTCTCCTCTCTCTCTCTCTCTCTCTCTCTCTCTCTCTCTCTCTCTCTCTCTCTCTCTCTCTCTCTCTCTCTCTCTCTCTCTCTCTCTCTCATCACCCTGCCCACACTTCCTGCCTGGCCAGCCAGTGTTTTATTCGCTGACCAATAAGAAAAGCATATCCACAGAAGGACACCCTCATCGGTGGGGAGGTAGGGAGGCCGCACTGAGCCAGGAAGCTCTAGGCGTTTCTCGGGACACGGACAGTGACTGTTTTGGGGACTTGTAGCAGAGTCACACTGACACCCCTAGGGTAAACAGGGTCGCCCATGAAGGAGTTGGGAGAATGAACAATACACACGCTGGATAGGATGGGAATCCCACCTGACTGACTGGGTGTGGAGTGCGTGCCTGTGATACCCGTGCTCAGTAAGCCCAGGCAGGAGGATCCAGAACTCCAGGCCAGCCTGGGCTACCCCTGTTCAAACTGACAGTTCTGATCCCTGAGCATCTGCCCTGTACCCTGACCAGGCTGGTGGTGCCATTCTCGGACCTGCCACTAGAGGGCAGCAAGGTTCAGGCCAAGGAAGAGGTGCTGTGGCTCAGACCAGGCTGGGGAGCTGTTGTAGTTCAGGCTGGTGACCCCAGCCTATCCCCACACCCTCTGCTTGTGACTGCCTAGAATCCCAGACTCTTCCGTGGGGTTGGGACTAGCATCAAGGTCTCCTCTTCCTGGCCCTGTATTTACTGTTTCCTGTCTTCATGGGGTAGTGGTGGTAGTCAGGGGAACATGGGGAGGTGGTCCCCTCCCAAATGCAAATACGCAGGCAGGAGAATCTATCCCAGGAGCTGTGGGCTGTCAGATGTCTCCACCTCTCATGCCAGCACCCTCTTCACCGTCTCCTCTCTACCCAGGAGCCCAGATTAGGACTCAGAATAATCACTCGTTTTTGAGACAGGGTCTTATGTACCCCAGGCTGGCCTCCAACTCGCTGTGTAGACAAGGATAACCTTGGACTCCTGACCCTCCTGCCCCCACCTCCCGAGTGCAAGATTTTCAGGCACTCACACCATACTGGGTTTACACAAATGCTCCACTCACGGACCGAGCTACATCCTTAGATGTCTGTTTTTTCTTAGTTTTGTTTGCCACTGACAGGAAGTTTCATTTCTTTGATCACATACCCTCTGTGGTTTGCAAAACTGTCTGGGGTCCCCCAGTCACCTGCACAAAGAGTCCCCAGCCTGAAGCTGGGCCTGGTGTCTGTCTGCCCCCAGGAGAAACTGAAGAAGACCACCGAGGATGCAGACATCTTTGAGAACAGATACAAGGAGATAAGCCAGACCCTGGAGCATCTCAAGACCTCGGTGGAGAAGCTGTTTAAGAAGATTAACTGTGACGCCACGGAGATCTTGGGGAAGCTGGGCGAGACTGGGAAGATAACAGACATTAACTTTCAGCAGTACTTTGGTGAGCTGAGATGGCCCTGCCCAGCAATTAGGAACTCTGGCCAGATACAAGGGCTCTTTCTTTGGTTGGCAGTGAGCACAGTCATGGTGCAGCCTGCCTGGGCTCGAATTCTGATTCTTCACCTACTAGCTGTGTGATTTTGTCCACGTTCCTGACCTTCCCTGTGCCCAGCTTCTTACAGCTCCAAAGTGAGGGGGAACTGTCTCACCGGGTTACTGGGAGGACTAAATTCAGGGTAGCTGGTGGCAATCTTAGGAGACACGGGAGAGCGAGTTAGTGACCTTCAATCCCCTTAGTGAGAAAAACCAAAACTAGAAGGGAGCTTTCTTACACACACACAGACACTATGCACATACATGCACACACACACACACACACACACACACACGGATGTACACATATACATGTGCATGTGCACACACACAAGGCACCCATACAAACACTATACACACAGACACATGCACACACATGCACAGAGACACAAACATATACAACTCTACATACGTGGGCACTCACATGCAAACAACACACACAGGAGTACATGCATGAGCATTCATGCATACACATGTGCCTATACACATGCATGTATGCATTCATGTTCACACACATGCATGCGTGCACACGCACACACACGCACACACATGCACACACACACACACTTCATATTTGGGCCTCATGTCTTTTCTCTAAGATTGGAGAAGGTGAAGATGGAGCTCCCACTGAGCTTATTTAGTGCTGTATAGTAATTCTTGCCAAGGCAATAAGACAAGAAAAAAGAAAAAATCCTGATTGGAAGGAAGGAAATGAAGTGCTCAGAGTGAACGCTTGCTAACTGCCTTTGCAATTCCAGGTTTGGCTTCAAGTTCAGGGTAAAGAGGGGGCATGAAAACTCAGATCATGACAGCTTAGCATGAATGGTGCCTTCTGTTCTTGAAATTTAAGCCACAGGGGCTGGAGAGTTGCTCAGTGGTTAAGAGCATGTACTGTTCTTGCAGACGGCCTGAGTTTGAATCCCGGCACCCACATCAGGTGTCCCAGGCGGAAGGAATGGTGTACAGAAAGGCCTGGAGGCCAGGCTGGACCCCCTGCCTTTAGTTTATAGTAGAACTGTGGTTTTCAGCCATCTCTTTGTCAACACCAAGGGAGCCTCTTTTGGACAGCGCTTTCCGAGAAACTGTGATTTCTTGGTGCTTTGCCTCAGACCCTCTGTGTGGTTCCATGAGCTGCTCTGCCTGTGTGTGCTGTTAAGGAGTGAGATTCCTGTGCCTAATGAGGCCAGAATTTCTCACAGCCAGTGGCCAGGAGACAGCCGACAGCCTCAGGGGACAAACTCCCATCCCTCCTCCTGTTACAACCATGGCCACCCAGGCTGGCAGCCGTGACCTTCACCCTGTTGTCTTCCAGCTATCATAGAAAAGAAGACCAATGACCTGCTGATTCTGGAGTCCTTCCGGCGCCTGCAGGATGCGGAGGGACCCGATATTGATGTCCCACAGCCCTTTGTCAATCCCTTCTGGGGTGGCTCTGCCCTCCTCAAGGCCCCAGAGCCTACAAAAGTCGTGCCCCCTGTGTTTGGGGCAGACTCCTTCAGTGACAAACTTGATGAGGGTGAGTTCTTGGTCACTGCCACTGAGACAGGCCACTAGATAGAGTCCCTTAAGGAACCTGGGTCCCTACAGGGTCTGTGGGCCAAGCCTCAGTTTCCTTCGTTACTTCCTTGAGTGACATCACACTGTGTCAGGGACCATCACACCATGGCCACTTGTTTGAAAACACAGACAGGAATATATACTTAGGGAAGACTAAGGGCCAGGGTGGAAGTAGGAACATGTTCACTGCATCCCAAACCAGAAACAAGCAAAGGACCCTACACACACTCAATCACACACACACTCAATATCACACATGCACACACACTCAATATCACACACTATATGCACATATTCACACACATATGCTCATGAACTCATACGCACATACACAAACGCACTTACTTGCACACACTCATGCACACTGACCCACACACTCATAAACGCACTCATTCACACACATACCCATATACACTCATTTATACACACCCATATGCACACACAAACACACATACTCAAACACATACCCTCATACACACATGTAGTCATACACACACACCCACACATGTGGACACTCACACACACATATATACAAATGGGCACATGCACCATTCACTCTTAAGTCAGTCAGAACTTAACCCACAGTGGAGTACTATGCAGCCCCTAAAACGGAACTTTTCTCTGGGTAGTGGTAGCTTGGTAATCGAGCAAAGGCTGTGCCGTACAGCTTTGTCACTGATAGTAACCCAGCTGGGGCCTCACTCTTGCTTAGGAATTCCCTGAAGGCACATCTCTGCCTGGAGCTCTTAGACTTAGAGCTCTCTCTTAGAGCTCTTGGCACCTCAAGCCCATCCCAGCGTGGTGGAGTGACACTTCCCTGGGAAGGAAGTGAACTGGGCGTCAATTCCCGGTTGCTCACAGCGCTCTGTCCTGGGTGCAGTGGACTATCCCCTGGACCACAGTACCCTCCGGCAGCTGGTCTTGGAGAACTACCTTCAGAAGGACCGTGGCAAGGAACCCCAGGACACCCTGTCGGAGAAGGGGGACGAGATGAGGCCCAAGAAGAAGGTGATGGGCTGAGCTACAGGTGGCTGTGGTCCACACCCAGAGAGAATAAATGCTTTCTTCTGAGCCCCAGGGCCTTTGCTGGTGCTGTGCCGAGGAGCTCCGAGGACTGGGAACCAGGTCTGCAGTGCAGTGGGGGAGAGGAGACGGGGCTCAAAAGTCAGGGTCTCAGGCTCAGTGCTTCTGGAAGAATGGGTGTCCCTGAGGGACACTCACAAGACCACAGGTGGGGGATGAATAGTTCAGAGTTTTAGGGGCTCTGATCCCCCAGGACCCACCCTTTGAACCCCAGCTTCCTGCAAGGGGCTCATAGACACCTCATCGACTGCAGGGCTGGATGTGACCCTGGAGGTTCTTTCTCTCTCAGACAGGGCCTTGCTGTGTAACCCAGACCAGCCTCGGATGTCATCATGCTTGGTCCCAGGGATTCCTTTTAAGTTGGTTTTCCATTTTTAGTTCATCTATGGGGACTCAGCTCTAGGGTTATGTAAAAGTCCAGGTCAGGAGAACAGGGACTAGTTTGTTGATTTATTTGAGACAGGATCTCACTACGTAGCCCACTGTAAGTCTGGGACTCGCAGAGATCCGCCTGCCTCTGCCTCCTAAGTGCTGGGACTAAAGGTGCGCCACCACGCCCATGCTTCGCTGTACCAAGACCCCTCCCACTCTTGCCTCCTTAAGGGCTGGGCTCCAGAAAGCACCCAGAGCTAAGGGAAGGCCACCGTGGGCAGACAGTGACAGATGGCACTGCTACCCCTGGATGCAGCTGCTCCTGAAGCTCATGGATCTCTGAGCTTTTGGAACCTCTTTTTCTTTTCTTTTCTTTCTTTCTTTCTTTCTTTCTTTCTTTCTTTCTTTCTTTCTTTCTTTCTTTCTTTCTTTCTTTCTTTCTTTTTTTGAGACAGGGTTTCTCTGTGTATAGCCCTGGCCATCCTGGAACTTGATCCGTAGACCAGGCTGACCCCAAACTCAGAGCTTCACCTGCCCCTTCCTCCCAAGTGCTGGGATTAAAGGTGTGCACCAGGCAAAAGTCATTTCTTCTTCGAAATGAGATTCCTGCAGCCTTCACACAACCCAAATACTTTGTGAGTTTGGCTATGTAGGACCAATGAGCCAACAGCCCCCATGACTAGATCCAAGACTTCCTGTTTATTTGCGCATGACCCTGGGATGGTGAGCACCTGCAGGCTGGGGCAGCAGGGGCCGGGCTGGATAGCAGGGTGTCGGTCGCCGGAGACTATGGCTCAGGGCTCAGGGCTCAGTCCTTCTCCTCCCCGTGGGTGATGATGTGGACTAAATTCTTGTAATCTAGATTGCCCGTGACATCTGGGGGAAAGGCCGCGAACATCTGGTCGATCTGAGAGCAAGAATGGTAGGTTGCAAAGACAATGAGTAGCAGGGGTAGAAAGGGCCTGAGACCCCAGGAAAGACCCGGGAAGGACCCCATCCCAAAGGCCAGGACCTGCTCCACAGCTGTCACCGGGTCTGAGGCAGGAGGGGCACTGTGAAGTCCCAAAGGTCCAGCTCCCTGGCACTCAGCCCAGGCTACTGTCCTGGGGCAGCGTCTGTGCCCACATGCTCCTGTGTCATTACCGTCCCCGTCTCTATTCCCCAGGGTGACCCCCAAGGCCCCTAGACACCCCATAGGGGAAAATGGAGAGCCAGCCACACAGGGGGCCTGGCAGGTCAGGCTCGGGTGTGAGAGGTAGGGCTGTGGCTGAATGCAGGCAGAGGACAAGTTGTGGTCACATGGTCGGAGAGGTCACATTCTTGGAGGGAAATCAGGGGTTTTACATGCAGTTTCCCTGTATAAAAAGTATTGGATGTCTAGTCCCAGGACAGCCTCCAAAGCCACAGAGAAACCCTGTCTTGAAAAAACAAAACAAACAAGCAAAAAGTATTGGATGGAGTAGGTGCTCGTGATCCCAGCACAGGGAGGCAGAGACTGGAGGACTGGGAATTTAAAGTCACCTGGTTTAAGTAGTAAGTTCCAGGCTGGCCAGGCCTGTGCAGTGGAAACTTCTTAAAAGGCACCCCGCCACACACACGTGTGTTTTTGAATGGTTGCCACCGATCCCCCCCCGCTTTTCTCTATCTTGCAGTGCTGGGGACTGAACCCAGGGTTTCTTGCACGCCAGGTGAGTGCTCTGCCTCTGAGCTACAGTCCCCTGCCTTGTTCCTCTTATTTTGTGACAGCTCTGACCAAGTTGCCCAGGCTAGCTTTGAACTCTGTAGCCTGCACAGGCCTTAAACCTGCAATCCTCCTGCCTTCGCTTCTCTGGTAGCCGAGATGGCAGGTCCGTGTCGTGAGGCCTTGCTAGCTTGAACTTGTAACCACCAAAAGACACTGCGCATGGCCCCGTGATGGCATTGTGAACACCACCGAGCCTCGAGGCTGCGGATTGCGCTCTCATCCCTCTTGGACACATGGGGAGACCGAGGCACAGTGAGGTTAAAGTCTAACGTCCCGTGAGCAAGCCATTCTTAGGTGATGCACACTAGAGCAAGACAGAGCTGCTGTGAAGGCTGGGACACTGGGGACCCTGTACCTCCTCTTTGGAAAATCTCTCTGCTTGGGTGGTAAGCATCTCCCGGACACTGTAGGAGAGGAGAGAGCAAGAGCTGGTGATTTATGTTGCGGGTGGAAAATGAGAATCCCTCTCCCTCAGAAGCCACTCACTAGTCAGCCTTCAGCGACCCTTTGCCTTCAGGGTCAAACACCTTGAATGCGTTGAGAATGGTCTCCTCGGGGTCAGCCCCTGCAAGAGAAGGTAGGCTCACCCATCCGTCGGGACTGGAGCAAACCCAGGTACCCCTGAGCCAGAGGAGCCGGGGCAAGACCGCTTCCCTCAGGGAGACGTGGGTTTGAAGGGCTGGGGAGTTGGCTCAACAAGAGGGCTTGCCGCCCTGAGCGCCCACATGGTAGCTCACAACTTGGAGCTCCAGCTCCAGCACTGTCCCCTCCTTCTGGCCTTCATGGGCGTTTCGAGCATGTGCTATGCACGCACACATACACATCAATAAAAATAGGACCTTAAGGGGAGGCTGAGGAGTCAACAGGAAGTCAAATGCAAGAGAGGCTTCAAACACACGACTGTGACTCTCGGACTTTGTGGGCTGCAGGGAGCTTCAAGCAATTCGGCTTTCTGTCTAACCTGCGGGTTAGAGTAGAGCTGGCCTCTCAGGTGCTCTGAAATGTGTCAGTACCTGGGGTGGATCAGCCCAAGGCTAGGTAGAGGACTTGGAATAGCCCATTGCTGGAACAGCGCCCCTGCTGGAACTGCACCCACTCTCCAGCAGGGGGCGCAGTCAGTGCTCTTAACCGTTGAGCTGTCTCTCCAGCCCTTCCACACTAATTTTCAGTAGATCCTTGTCCACTTGTGAGCTGCCCACTTTCACCCATGCTGTCTCTTCCAGAGCTTAAGTCATGCCCCGAGTGAACCCACGCTTACACCCGCATGCTCACACATGTTCATTTGCATGCACACACACATGCACGCACGCACGCACCCGCGCAGGCTCACAAGCGGGACCTCACCTTTAAGCTTTTCCCCAAACATGGTGAGGAACACGGTGAAGTTGATTGGACCTGGAGCTTCCTTGATCATCTCGTCGATCTCTTCATTTTTCACGTTCACTCGTCCTAGGGGGAGACACCAGAACTCAGAGCTGGGAGCGGCAGCTGCGGCCCTTGGTGATCCAGCTTCTAGGAAGCCGTTCTAGGAACTGTCGGGGACAGTGGTATGTGCGTGCGAGCGTGCGTGCGTGTGCGTGTGTGTGTGTGTGTGTGTGTGTGTGTGTGTGTGAGAGAGAGAGAGACAGAGAGGGAGAGTGTGCGTGTGTGTGTGTGTGTGTGTGTGTGTGTGTGAGAGAGAGAGAGACAGAGAGGGAGAGTGTGCGTGTGTGTGTGTGTGTGTGTGAGAGAGAGAGAGAGAGTGTGTGTGTGTGTGACAGAGAGAGAGAGAGAGAGGGAGAGAGAGAGGGAGGGACGGACAGACAGACAGACAGACCTAGAACAGATTTCACCAGCAGTGTTCTCCAGCAGCCACCCAGCACCTGGGTGGAACGCACTGGCTAAAACAATGTCGTCAAGGCTGGGGACACGGTGTTCAGGGGATTCAGGATTTGCCTGGCATGCAGGAGGCCCTGGGTCTCACCCCCAGCACCACATAAACCAGGTGCAGTGGTGAATGCCTATAACTAAGCACTAGGGAGGACCAGAACTTCAAGGTCCTCCTGGGCTACATAGTGAGGTTGAGGCTAGCCTGGGCTACATGAGACCTGAGCTCATTAAATGAAAAAATAAGTCTTCAAGCCTGACACCTTTAACGTAGGAAAAGTCCTTAAGTTGCGATGCCCTTCTGAGACGCCAGCAGAGGGCTATGTCCCCAGTCACTGAGGGAACGCTTGGTCAGGCTGCCGCAGCCCACAGCTGTGGGCATCATGCCTGCTCTCTCCTGCCTCAGAACACTGCCTTTGGGCTAACCAGACAAAGCTGCTCCCTTCTTAAGACCGTTTTTAAAATCAGAGGCTGGCAGCCGCAAGGTGAGTTGCTCAGCCCACAGGGCTGCTCTCAGAGACCCGAGTTCTCAGGATGGGAGCAGGTGGTACCGGAAGGCGGGTTCACACTACTGTGATGTTAGATAAGCCAAAATCCCAAACCAGATGACCCCAATAACTTGAAAGGCAGACATCTGGAAGGATTTCAATGTTTGAGGCTGAAGCGTTCACTAGAGCATAGCCTTTTGGGTAATTCTGTTTTCTCCTTTATTCTTTTCTGAGTAGTTTGGATGTTCTATTGTGAGGCAGGAATGTGTTATAAAATCCCCCACCACACACACACACACACACACACACACACACACACACACACACGTCCCGGGTTAAGTGGAAAGGAGAAGCATGTAAAGGCCACTGGAGTTGCTCCTAAAGGCCAGTGACAGCTGATACTTTGGAAGAGGACAGATGGGCTCTGGGCTTCTTCTGACGCTGTTCTCCCTGTCCTCCTCCACCTGCCCCGGTTTGGGAAGGAGCCTTGCGCAGAGTTCATGCCACATACCTAGGGCAGCAAATGTGTCCCTCAGGTCATTCTTGTCAATGAAGCCGTCTCTGTTCTGGTCCATGATTGTGAAGGCCTGTGGGACGGGGACAGCTCAGCTGAGGCCAGAGGAGGGGCTTCTGGAACCCCAGGGACCGTGACAGAGTGGGGACTGGAAACTGTCTGAGTTGATTTAATCACACAGTCTCCCGTTAGGCCCCCAGCCCAGAGAATCAAAAATATGTCCCCATAAAACCTTGCCCAGAAGCTGGGTTGTGGTGGCGCACACCTTTAATCCCAGCGCCCATGAGGTGGAGGCAGGTGGATCTCTGTGAGTTTGAGGGCAGTCTGGTCTACAGAGAGAGTTCCAGAACAGCCAGGCCTACAGAGAGAAACCTCGTCTCGAAAACCAACACAAACCCTGTTCAGAACATTCCAACATGAGAGCCCCAGGCAAACCCTAACGTCCTTCAAGAGAGGAAATGAGACACCAAATGAGGCTCACATGTTGGAATACGCTTTAGCCCTGAAATGCTTCAATCCTTGTCACAGCCAGGATGGACCCTGAAGGCAGGATTTTCACACAGGGAGCAAGTCCACCAAGATGGAGCGTGGGCCACCCTTTTGTGAGGCGACAGAGGTATCCCGAGGTTCCGCCGTGGTGACCGGTGAGGAGTAACTCAGGTGAGCCACAGGAGGCGGTGTCCCTGCCCTCTGAGTTAGCAGGGGCAGAGGCACCACCTTAGAACCCGTCTGGAAGTGCTCCTGTGACCCCAGCGCCTCCCCAAGCCCACCCCCAACTCTGAGCCTGTCCTCCTTGGCCGTGGCCAGTGGCTTCACTTTTACCCCTCTAGTTAGGACCAGCGGCGCCTGCAGCAAGGCCCAGCCCCGCTGTCGAGGGCAGCCCTGCCCTTCCCCCTTTGGCGCCTGGAAAGAAGTTCTCCACGGTTAATGCGCAGGGACACGGAGCAACGATGGACACGGGTGGATGGCCATGCCGCCCAGCACCAGGAACCCAGGCGGGGAGGAGGATGGGGAAGGACCACAGGGACCAGTAGCTGGGCGTGGCCCTTCCGTCATCCTTCTGCATCTCTCTTCTCTCTGTCGCTCATCTTTCTGCCACTCCCCCCTCCCGCCCCCCGCCCCCAGCGCCCACAGGAGCGACTGAGGATCTCAGGCACAGGTGACCAAAGTGCTGGTGGTGGGGATCAACCCTGAGCAGAGACTGCCAGTGCCGCCTCAGCACCTACTCTGTTCTGTGCTTTTCTGGATACTTCCCTGCACGTCCGCCAGGGGGCGCTCTTTTTGATAATCTACAGACGTTAGTAAGACCAAGCATTTGTTTGGGGGATTCGATACAGTCTGGATGAGCTTGGACATGCGGGCGCGCGGGTCATTTCCTGGGTCGGGTGTCCTCCTTTGTGGGGAGGGGGGCTGCCGCCACACCTACCTCCTTGAACTCCTGGATCTGGGTCTGCTCGAACATGGAGAACACGTTGGAACTTCCACCCTCCACCCTCTTCTTGGCTTTCTTTGGTGCCTGAGTTTGGGGGAGGGGCGGCCATTAGACACAGCTGAGCCCTGGGCCAGGCTCTGTCACCTGGTGAGTGGGTCTCCTTTGCCCAGACACCTAAAAGCATGCAAACACTAATTCTTGCCTCTGCTCCACCAAGGAGACAGAAGTACTGGAGGCTCAGAGACCAGGTCACACAGCCGCAGACACTCATGCAGTCTGTGCCCCTAGCCGCTGTCTCTCTCTGACTAGCAGTTGGGGACTCCCTGTGCTGGGAGGCAAACACCTACCCAACACTACAGGGGACAAGCATTCAGCATTTGCAAGTTCAAAGGACAGAACCAGAAAAAAACACTTTTCCTGGCTGCCAGAATGGGGGGAAAATAAATTTGATCCTTAAAAGCCTCCTCTTTGGCTAACTCTGGGAGTTATTGATTTCCTGAGAGGCCACGAAGCAGCAGGTGGGGAAAAAAAAGCAAATAAAATATAAAACCACCCCAAACCCAAAAACCAAACCAAACTCCTTTTTTTTTTTTGGTTTTGGTTTTTTGAGACAGGGTTTCTCTGTAGCTTTGGAGGCTGCCCTGGAACTTGCCCTGTAGACCAGGCTGGTTTCGAACTCATAGAGATCCACCTGCCTCTGCCTCACGAGTGCTGGCATTAAAGGTTTGTGCCACCATCCCCCGGCAAAACAAAACAAAAAAAAAAACAACAAAAAAACCCCCAAACCCTCATTTATTCGATTTTTGCAAGTCCCCCGAGGAGCTGCTCTTTGTCTTGGGGACACTGATTGGGGGCCCTCTGCGTGGCTGATTCAAGGTGCTCGCCCATTCAGGGCTGGGGTCTCGAGAGCGCCTTCCTCCTACTCCAACGGGGTCCTGGCTTATGGGGGCTGCCTCTTGGTTTCCCATCCTGCATCTTCCCTCAAGGGACCACTGGTCACTCACCATGGTGTCTGTAGCTGGCTGCTTCCTCTGGAGAATTCAAGGAACCTGCTGGCCCGCGTCTGCAGTGGAACAATAAATACCCCTTCCCTGGCGATAAAAATAACCCAATGACCACTTTTGGCAGTTGTAGGTGAGGCAGAGGCCACCTAAGCCCCCCCTACCCCATGCCGTTCTTCTGAAGTAAGTCTCTTCACTGGCGGTCACCGCCTGGGTTGACACGTGAGACCCAAAAATGCCTTCAAGGTTAAAGAGACAGAGGCTGGGGCCTGGCCTGGGGAGGGATGCTGCCCGCTCGCTCTCTGCCACGCCTGTCATTGTCTAACGGGAAAAGGAGCCCAGGAGGAGGTGTGAGCATTCGGCCATATCTAGGCTCCCTGGCACCGCAGGGCCTTCGCGCCTGCGCACCTTGGGCAGCCTCTGGTGCACACCATCTTTGCCCAGGTGACCCGCCCTCCTCCTCCTCTGCTTTGTGTCCCCACCCGGCCCCCGCCGTGTTCACGCTTCTGAGCAGGCAGTGAGACGGACAGCCGTGAAAAACGTGAGTTCAGAGAGGCAGGCCGGCTGCTGGGGGCAGTTCTGGGAGGACCAGAGTGTCACCGCACCGACTCCTTTTCTCTTTGAGACATGGCCTCGTGTAACCCAGGCTGGCCTTGGACTTGATATGTAGCTGAGGGTAGCCTTAAACTCAAGGACTACAAAAAGGAAAATACAGGGCTTGCTCTTCCATTTCCTCCGCTCAGGCTGGCCTTGGACTCACTACATCGCCGAGGTTCACTTTGGAGCTACGATCCTTCTGCCGCCTCCTCTTGAGTGCTGGGACCACAAATGTGGGATCCGGGAAGCCTTCGGGAGGTGACTGTTAGTCATTTCCTTCCGAGGTCAAGATGGTCTCCATCTGTGGGGCACAAACGTGTGGTCGCATAATCCTATCAAAAGAAGGGGCCACTGGAGAGACGGCTCAGCAGTTACCAGCCCTGGCTGCTCCCAGAGGACCTGGTTCCCAGCACCCACAAGGCAGCTCACGCCTGGCTGTAACCCCAGTTCCAGGGGACCTGATGCCCTCATACAGACGAAAGGAGAGAAAAAGGAAGGAAGTGGGGAGGGGCAGGAAGGTAGGGAAGGGAAGTGACACCTGTTATCCCAGTACCCAGGACTTGAGGCAGGAGGATCAGGAGTCCATGTCATCCTTGGCTACACAGTGAGTTCAAGTTCAAGGCCAGCCTGGGCTACATGTCAACAACTCAAAACACAACCAATTGAACAAAACCCCATTCCCCTGGCTTCTGGAGATCCTGCGGAAGCGCACGTGACCGGCCAGGGGACGCAGTGACTGAGAAGGGAGGTGCCCCACAATGGCTGTATGAGGGTGAAGGGGTTCATGGGGTTACCATGAACCTGGGCGTCCTGTCCCCGTGAGCCTCTTTTCCACTGAGCTGTCTGAGGGGCAGGCTTATGCTGCTGTGTGAGAAACCTTTTGGTTATCTGGTGAAAGAGCCTGGCCTGAGGGTTCAGGACCTCAGCCTCCATGGACCTCCAGAGCTTGTTTCTTCTGGTAAACATGGATGTGCTAACTGCCCCTGGGGCTGTTGGACTCAGCAAAGGAGACCAGAGGATTCTGGGATCATGGTAGCCCAGCTAGGGCACAGAACCACGTGGGCTGGAGACACAAGGGTTCAGAACGCCGAGTCAGAGGTCACGTCCTTGAGGGGGGCTGCTGGGGAGACCCGGGTTGGGTCCACGAAGGGCTCCCTCCTTGAAGCTCATGGTGGAGGTGCACAGGGCTGACGCCGCCCTGTCCCTAGGCTCTCAGGCGACACCCACCCTGTGGCTCCACGCTCTAACAGCTCGTGAGATTTCTGCAAGCCTCGTTTCTGAGACCCACTGAGCACAGAGAACCGGGAGCTCCCAGGTGGAACTGTCAGCGCCTCCAGAACAATTGAGAACAAAGCCAGCGTGTGGCTTTCTCACCGCCGGCACAAAAATACAACGGTAAACCCAGCAGCCAAGCTCACTACCTGGCAGGGTTGGCGGTCAGAAATAGAAATCGGGCAGAGGGCTGTGTCCCGCTGTGGATGTGGGCGACAGTCCCTTCCTTACCCAGCTCCTGGCAGCTGCCAGCATTCCTGGCTCACATCCATCAGTGAGGCCGCTGTCTTCTGGCCGTTCAGCGTCCCACACAGGCAGTCGCAACAACTCATCTTAAGTGTGTTTAGATGCATGGAAAAATACACACCAAAGAACAAAAGGAAATATGTCCTGCCCCCCAAAAGAATCCAAGGTCAATACTACTGAATGGTGTCTATCTATATCCATTCGGGGTGGGGAGGGGGCTCAGCATGAGCTCCCCAAGTCTACCCCAGGAACCCACACAGAAGCCAGGCACCGGTGGTATGGGCCTAAGTGCCCATCACAGGGGAGGTGGGGACAGATTTCTCTGGCTCACCGGCCATCAAGTGTAACCTAAAATAGTGAGTCCCAGGCCTCAGTGAGAGAGCCTGTCTCAAAAAAAAAAGATGGATGGCCTCCGAGAAATGACCTCCAAGGTTGACTTCCGGCCTCTGCAGGCACACACAGGTGTAGGAGAAACTACAGCCAGCCTACCCAGGCCACAGTCACCCTGCCCCCCTGCACATGCACCTGCAACACACGGGTACCTGAACCCATTTGCGAGTGAGCATGCACACGCTTGTACACATGTGCACATTGCAGGTGCGTGTGCACACACACATACACACACGCGCACACACACAATAACCCATTGACAGTTTTAAGAGATGAGAAGAAAATATAGGTCATTTATAAACACAAATATGATTTTACCCCGATTTTAAGGACTTAAGTGTTTGTTGGAGCCCTACTGTGTGCAGGATCTGGTGTACACCTGGAGTCAGGGGACACTGGGGTTTAGATGTTTCTCCCTGAAGCTCCTGGGTTGGGAATTTAATCCTCAAGGCCACATTTGGTAGTGCTGGGGGCGGGTCTGTGGGAGGTGACTGAGGTTAGATGGGGTTACAAGGACGGCCCCCAGGTGGGATTAGTGATTTAGTAAGAGGACTAGAGACTGGTAAGACCCTCTGCCCTCAGCAGCCTCCAGCCTTTGGAGCAATAACATTGCTCGTGTTTGCAAACAATCCAGCCTCTGGTGCTGTGTTACAGTAACACCGATAATTAACTCAGCGCTCAGTGGAGGTGAACTTTGAGAATCTCTGGGATATGTGCCCAACTATTGACAGTATAACACAGTAGGAAGGAATACCTTTTATTTTCTCGGTTTTTTTATGTGTGTTTGTTTGTTTAGATCATATCTCACGTAGCCCAGGCTATGATTATGTAGCAGAGGATGCTGAGTTGACCCATTAAATGCCTTTGCTTTTAAAAACCTAAGTATTGATTTATTCCTCTAAGCAAGCAAGGAAACAAACCAAATAAACCTCCAATACCAAACCTCAGGGAAATTCACATAAAACTCAGAAGTGACCAGATGAAGACAAGTCTTTGCCTCTGCACTAAAGGTGGAGAAGTGGGTGACAGTTTTGAGCTGGGCGTTGGTGGTGCACACCTTTAATCTCAGCACTGGGGAGGCAGAGGCAGGCGGATCTCTGTGAGTTCAAGGCCAGCCTGGTCTACAGAGTGAGTTCCAGGACAACCAGGGCTACACAAGGAAACCCTGTCTTGAAAACAACAACAACAAAAACTGTTTCTTTGGCACAAAAGGATGAACAGAAGTGACTCATGGTAGTTCTGGTTGTGGGGACATCAGCGTGTGCCATCCTGTGACTGTGCAGAGAGGTCACAGCTCCAAGCAAGTGCAAAACACACCAGATTCTGCAGTTCGAGGAATCACGGAGACTCCTGACATAGTCCCTGGCAGAAAGACGCGGCCTGGCGAAGCAGCTCAGCCCACTTGGGAATGTCTGGGCTTCTAGGGAGGTGAAGACAGAGGACTTTGGCTCACAGACCCAAGTGTGCCTGACTGACACCAGGGGAATATTCACCTTTGATTTTCCTTGCTTGGGTACTGAGCAGCTGTGTGACATCAGGTAGGTTTTTTTTTTTTTTTGGCCTCTCTTAGCCTCAATGTGCTCATCTGTAGAGTGGGCACGATAATGACATTACCCTGTTGGAGTTGTCAGGGGGCCAAAAGCAGATTATTTTTGTGGGTGTGGTTATTTTGTGAGTGTTGACCTGGGGACTCCTGCTGAGGTGAAGAGCCTGCTAACTTTCCTACCAGGCCTGGGGATTGGCCTGATGGTGGGGGGCAAGCTTGGAAGCGGAGGGTCCTTTTCCCATAGGCTGTGGGCACTACGGAGACCCGCCATCAAGGCCTCTATCTGAACTGGGACTTGGTACCTCCACCTGGGCTCACAGTGCTCTTGAAGATAGCCACGGAAGGAGGGTACTTGTTCTTCTGGCCCCGGGTCCTGCGTGGAGCTCACCGCTGCTGGGGGCCTGTGAAAGCAACAGTTTCATTTCTGAATGAAGGAGGCACTGGAGTCAGATGCGTGTGTAACAGTTCATTTCTGAATGAAGGAGGCACTGGAGTCAGATGCCTGCCTGCCTGCGTGCGTGCGTGCGTGCGTGTGAAGCCAGGGCAGCAGGGTGGGAACAGTAAGGGAAGATTGGAGCTGGAGCTCACAGCTCTGTCAAAAATAAACAAGACAATAAGGGCTGGAGAGAGGCGTGGGGAGTAAGAAGAGTGCTCCTCCGGAGGAACTGAGTTTGATCCCCAGCACCCACAGATGTAACTGTAGCGACAGGAATTAGTTGCCCCAGTCTGGTCTCCCAGAGGGATGCACTCACATGGGCATAACCACACACAGGCATACACACGCATAATTAAAAAGACTAAAACCAATCTTTAGAAGGAAAACAGAGGCTGAAACGGGATTCCTGTGAAATTGAACGATTTGGCCTGGGGGTGCAGGGGTGTCTTAGGCCTTTTATCTGTCTGCGTGAGACAGATTCTCACTATGTATTCCAGACTGGCCTCGAACTTGTGACCCTCCTGCCACAGCCTCCTGAGTGTTGGAATCACAGGCCTGGACCACCAATCTTCTCTGCAGGTGCCTATCCCACGCTAGCTGCCAGAATGGAGTCCAGGCTGTGTTGCTCGGCTGTCAGCAGCGAGGCCCCTGTCCCTTGACGACATGGCTTCTCAGCAGCGCCCAGGAGCCCAGGGTGAGCAGCAGGAGAGTGAGCACTGACCTCTTCAGATGAAAGGCAGAGCCAGGGGAGGGGAGGCACCTAGCATGGCTCTCTGGTCTCTTTGGGAAGTGGCCTCACCACGGCCAACCTGCTTTGGGTGCTGGGCCCTTTAAGGAGGTGATGGAGTCCCAGTCTTCGTAGAAAGAAGGTCCTGCCAGCCTAGAGCTGTGGCTGATGGCTGCTGTCACCAAGGATAGCTTATCTCCTTCTGTCATGACTCAGAAGGTGTTGGTGACAGCAGCCCCTGGGGAAGCAGCCTCTCCAGGTAGGGGTGGGGGGTGGGGGATGTTGGGGTAGGGGGAGTGGGGATGGAGGGACTGGGGTGGGCGTGGGGAGGGGTGTAGACTAGCCCCCTCCTGGGGGGCCACTGGGCACAGAGTGCAGCTCTATGCTCCAGTTACCCCCAGAAGACGGACACACAGAACCACCTTCTAGAATGCTCCTGGACACATCCATGTTCAGTCAGCTCAGCTCTTACACGCAACACTGGGTGGACACTGGGTGGACACGGAAATCTTTCTTGCACCTCTTTGCCCCCCCCACTCTTTTCATTTCTAACTCTCGCATTCCCTGGATTTCCAGACCCAAAGCCCCCACCATCTTGATTCAACCCTTGACAAAAGGTTTTTTTCTGTTTCGCCCTATTCTGTCTGTAAATGCAGTTCCTTCTAATCCTGCCCCGGATCTTGCAGTAGCTCCCAATACTCTGGGGCCTCCTCTCTCTCACCACCCTACCCCCACCCTTCACACACCCCTATTCCTGTGCCCCACTCGGATGACCCCTCTGGACCACCCTCCCCTCCTCAGCCTGACTTTGAACTACTAGAGTGCTTCAACCATTGAAGGATGGGGTTCCAGGTCAGCTTTCCTGGGGGACCCTGGCCAGATGACTTCACCAGACCAGACCTTGGCATCTTCACTCTATGAATGAATAAATAGCTCTAATATTACAACGCTGCTGCTATTAAACGATGGTGGGGCAACAGCTTACGGTACTCACATGGGCTGAGTGGGGTTAGGATAGAGAGAAATTGAGATTATTGTCCTCTGCCTTCCTGGCTCCTCCCCCCACTCCAGGCCACAGACCCTCCAGTCTTGAGGCAGATGCTCCAAACCAGCTGAGTTCAAATGGACATACCCTAGGCTCTGGAGAAGGTGGTATGGCTTTTGCTGGGTCCTCAGGACTGGGCGAGGACTTCACACTGTAGCATTCCCGGCCTCTGCACGGTGACCTTCCTGCACTGAGGTCCCAGTGACAACAAGTGCCTATCACCAGCTTGCCCCACCTCCCCCGGAATGCCAGACACTGCCCAGATTTCTCCCGGTCCAAACCACACCATAAGGCAGATGTCTATATCAGGTCCATTTCTCAGATGAAAAAACTGAGGACCTCACAGTCAGAGCCTCTGCCTTGGGCAGCGCTGGATTTGGCCCCGGTTGCTGGGGTTTCTCTCTGTGCACTTCCCTTTGACCTGGGATCCAGTTGTCCCCACTGTCCCCCTCTCGGGAGCAGAGGTCCCACTGGGGGCCACTATTGGTGGCTTTTTCTCCGATCATGTTTTCAGCCCGGGCAGACTGGCTGGCTGGGGACAAGATCTCAGGAGAGTCTCTTCTCCCAGTGCCCTTCAGATGCCCTCGGGCAGCTGTCGTGGCATGCCTGGCATTCCAGGGCATTGTCCTCTGTGCGAGACCCAGATGCCAGTGACAGCTGTGGCCTGATCTGCCCGCAGCCCCTTCCCTGAGGAACTTGGAGCCAGGACAGCGGCGGTTTCCGAGTCCTCTGATCTATATAAAGGCTGTGCTCCGCTCCTCAGTCATGCGACCTGAGGTCATGGGGTGAAGGGCCTTTCAGCATGTCTTCAGCCAACGCTCCGTGTGCCTCCCCGCCCGGGAACACAGGCTGGTGGCCTCGGCTCTGCGGACTCGCAGGGACAGTGTCACCTGGCGCTGACGGGATGAGGGGCCACTTTTGTGGCCTCCACTCAGCTGCTTCCAGGAGCAGATTCCCTTTGCCACATGGCCACAGCCAAAATGTCCCCAGATGCTGCCAGCCATCCCCTCAGAGACAGAAATGAGTGACTAGGGTGGTGGCGAGCATGAGGTGGCTCTGTGGGTGTCACCAAAGTCAAAAGCCTGGTCCTGGGGTTGGCTATGCCATATTGGGTGACAGCTGGGACCCAATGCTAACTCTTAAGTGGAAGGCTCCCCTCTCTGTGCCCATGTCACCATGTCCATAGCGTCAGCTCTACGCTTCCACCAAAACGCACTCAACTCCTAGAAGTCCTCCAGGTCTCCTGTGGGCCACAGTCACCTCTCCCCATCTCCTGGATGACACACAGCCATGAGGGACCTTGGCAAAAGTCATCACCTCATGCCCACAGGGTGCTCTGTGGACACCCCCTTGGATGAAACTGCTGTCAATAAGGATGCCATTGGAGACCCAGGTCTGATACACAAGGCCAGGCGGGAAGCCAAGTTCAAGTTTGGGGTGCCATACAAGGCAGGCAAGAACAAGTGGCTCTTCTAGAAGCTTCCGTTTTAGGGATTTATCTTTTTTTTTTTTTTTTTGGTTTTTATGAGACAGGGTTTCTCTATATTGTTTTGGAGGCTGTCGGTCCAGCCTGGCCTCGAACTCACAGAGATCCGCCTGTCTCTGCCTCCCGAGTGCTGGGATTAAAGGTGTGAGCCACCACCACCTGGCTAGTTTTAGGAATATTTTTGTATCCATCATTAAGCAAAAAGAAGTTGGTAAAAACTGGGCTTGAAATTCTGGTTTTGTAGACCTGTATGGAGGGCAGTCTTGCTTGTCAACTTGACACATGGGAAGAGGCACACGCTTGAAGAATTATAGCCCATCGGACTCGCCTGTGGGCACGTCTGTGAGGTTATTTTCTTGATTGCTGATTGATGGGGGAGGGGCATCCAATTGTGGGCGGGGCATCCCATTGTGGGCGGGGGCATCCCATTGTGGGCGGGGCAGCCCATTGTGGGCGGTGCCATCCGGGAGCAGGTGGTTCTGGGGTATATAAGAAAGCAGATAGCTCATGGGTAGCAGCTTCCTCCGCGCAGCTTCCTTCATGGCCGGAGCTTCAAGCTCCTGGCTGGCGTGGCTTCCAGCAACAACCGACTGTAACCCGTAAGGCACAATACGTCCTTGTCTCCCCATGTTACCTTTTGGTCACCGTGTTTATCATAGCAACAGAAAGCAAACTAGAACATACTTACATGTAAGCTTGAAGGACTTACGGGAAGCCGGAGAATTTCCAGAAAGATCGCTGGGGATCTGGACTTGAATGCCAGTCGATGTTTCTCAAGGCAAGGTCTACCTCCGGAAAAGTTGCATCCACAGCCCCGACCCAGGCACTGCAGACAACAGGCTTTGCCTCTGCCAACCCGGGAAGATTTTGCAGGCTCCCAGTCCTGGCCATGTCAAGAGGCAGTTCCACAGACGGCCGGCAGGGGAGGCACTGCACCATGCTTTGCTCTGCCGTGGGGCTGAAATGGGGAGGGATGTCCATTTGTATCGGTTTGTCCCCACAGCCTGGGATGGGAGAATGGATCTGAGTCTCCACAAGGAAAACCATCCATCCATCCACCCACCCACCCATCCATCCATCCATCCATCCACCCACCCATCCATCCATCCACCCACCCATCCATCCATCCATCCACCCATCCATCCATCCACCCACTCTCCCTTCTCTGCCCCTTTTTTCTCTCCTCCTTTCACTTTCTCCTTCCCTCCTTCCTTTCTTGTTTTACACAGAGAGGCATTCCTCTCTTTCTTCCTTTTTTACAAAACCAGTGTAGTATCCTGTGTAACCATTTAAAAAAATCTGTAACAGTTTCTTCGTCAGCAACCTGGTAAGACAGTCATTCCATGTCAATCAGTGCTGAGCTGTCCTTTCCTGGGGACTTGGAGGATTCACCCTGTGGCTGTCACACAGCTCTTAGGGAGTGTCCCGCATCCCAGTGGCATGGGGCCTTTTTTTGTTGTTTTTTTGTTTGTTTGTTTGTTTTGAGACAGGGTTTCCCTGTGGCTTTGGAGGGTGTCCTGGAACTCTCTCTGTAGACCAGGCTGGTCTCAAACTCACAGAGATCCGCCTGCCTCTGCCTCCCGAGTGCTGGGATTAAAGGCGCGTGCCTCTACCGCCCTCGATATAGGGCCTTTTTATTTGCTGTCTGTTGCTTTCTTGTGTTTTGGTTGTTGTTTTGGGTCCTGGGGATGGAAGCCAGGGCCTTGCAGATGCTACACTCCCTCTTCCAATCTCCTGGGATGTAAATGCTAGCAGGAAGTTCACTCACTATCAAAGCCGAGAGGCCTGGTGTCACTACAGTTTGTCTTTGAGGCTTCCAGGAATCCCCAGGACATGGTTTATTTGTTTTTACTTTTTAAAAAGACTAATTTACGTGCTTTATGTATGTGGATGTTTTGTTCATATGTACATTTGCACACCAGAAGAGGGAATCAGACTACAGTGATTGATGGTTGTGAGCCACCATATGGGTGCTGGGAATTGAACCTGGGTCCTCTGGAAGAGCAGTCAGTGCTCTTTTTTTTTTGTTTTGTTTTTTTGTTTTTCGAGACAGGGTTTCTCTGTGACTTTGGAGGCTGTCCTGGAACTAGCTTTTATAGACCAGGCTGGCCTCGAACACACAGAGATCCGCCTGCCTCTGCCTCCCCAGTGCTGGGATTAAAGGCGTGCGCCACCAATGCCCGGCTTGCAGTCAGTGCTCTTAACTGTTGAAGCATCTCTCCAGTTCCCTTACTTTTAATTTTTTCTTTTTTTCTTTTTTTTTTAGATATAGCCTCCCTATGTTGCTAAGGCTGGCTTTGAACTCACAACCCTCCTGCCTCAGCCACCTGAATGCTGGGATCATGCATCCATGGTACTGACGTTTTTTTTTCTATACTGGGCACCCATAGCTTTCTATATTAATTTTCCTCAAAAAGATAGTATTTTATCTTTTAAAAAAAGATTTGTTTATTATGTATACAGTGTTCTGGCATGTTTATACCAACTCTCATTACAGACGGTTGTGAGCCACCATGTGGTTGATGGAAATTGAACTCAGGACCTTGGAAGAGCAGCCAGTGCTCTTAACCTCTGAGCCATCTCTCCAGCCCCAGTATTTTATCTTGTTATAAAAACCCAACACACCTGGACAGTGGTGGCGCACACCTTTAATCCCAGCACTCATGAGGCAAAGTCAGGCGGATCTCTGTGAGTCTGAGGCCAGCCTGGTCTACAGAGGGAGTTCCAGGACAGCCAGGGCTATACAGAGAAAGAAACCCTCTCTCGAAAAACAAAAACAAAAAAGAAAATATTTCTCTAAAAACAAAAGACGAGAAGTAGGTGAAATAAACAAAAGAGGCCTGCTTGCCAGAGCTGTCTTGCGCACTCTGTGCCGGCAGCTTCAAGATGGCCCGGCCCAGGTCAGCCCAGTCCTGGCCATGTTTACCATGTGAGGGGTCCCAGGTTCCCCTCAGTCAAACGGAATACTGTCAGAACACTGAGGACATAACCTGGTGTGGTGGTACACTGCAATCCCAGCACTCAGGAGGCTGAGGCAGGAGGATGGTCTTAAGTCAGAGGGTAGTTTGGGCTATGGAACCAGAGCAATTGAGGTCGTGATCTGAAGGAGTTGGGGGTTGGGGGTTGGGGGGGGTCATTTAAATGGTGTTTTCTCATGTGACAATAGATCTTCCAGACTGTTCCCTCTGCGGCCACTTGGGCAGCCCTGCTCTTCATCCCCATTCAGCAGATGCCCTGTGAGTTATCTATTCCTTCCCTTGTGGCTGGACAGTCACATAGTTGTTTGTATAAACAAAGATGCTTGGAGCTCCCCATGCGGTAGCCAGTGTCTCTGAGGGGAGGCGGGCTTCCACAGGCTTGCTTACCATCCCCTGCAAGTTTAGCAGGGACTGAAGGAGGGACAAAGGGAAGAAACTGAGAGGAACTGTGTGGGAGAGAAGGACAGAACTCAGGCACTGCTGGGGTTGGCTGGACTTGAGCCCTCTGTCGGGCTGGTGATGCAGTAGGCTCAATTCCCAGAACCCACATAGCAAAAGACAGGCAACTGCCATAAACTGACCTTTGACCTCCACACAGGTGCTATGGCATGCACACTTACACACATGCATGTACACACACACACACATACTCACACACAGTGTTCTGTCTGCATATACTTCTGCACCCCCGAAGAGGGCACTAGATCTCATTACGGTTGTGAGCTGGGAATTGAACTCAGGACCTCTGGAAGGGCTGACGGCGCTCTTAACCTCTGCGTCATCTCTCCAGCCTGGGATTCTTTTCTTTTACAAGTTGAGGTCTGTGTTCTCTGCCACAAATCTCTCTCACACTTGAGCCGTGAAGACAGTCTCCTGTGTTGCTTTTGAGATGCTCTGTTGTTTCTGAGATGTTTTGCCTTTGTCTGTCATCTGCTTCAAGGTAGCTTTGTAGCCAAGTGTGAGTGAACAACCTTGCTTTCCCTGTTTGCATTTTTCATAGGGCAGCCCGATGCTTGAGCACAGCGCATTGAAGGCAGCAGCTGTTATTTCTCTACCAAACTGAAAACCGGTTGCCTATAGGTGAGGGGGCCCTCAGTTCCCCATGTGCCTCTCCTACCGACACCACACAGCTTTGCAGAGAGCCTGGACTCAGAGCGATGGCTCGGCAGTCAAGAACACGCGTCAGTTCGTTACACCCACGTGGGGCTCATGACTCAGGGGATCCGACGGCCTCTTTTACCCTCCGAGGGCACCAGTCACATATGTCATGCATAGAGACACATGCAGACTAAACACTCACATATAAAGTCAATCAGTTTAAAAAAAGAGATCAGGTCTTCTCACTTGGGCATTTTAATTTGTCATCTAGAGAGGCTGAAGGAAGGAAATGATTTTGTTTTCAAGCCCAATAGGTTTTGGGCCACCACACCCTGTGTCCAGCCAACCAGGAGCTGGACCAGCAGGGGGCGCTGTAGGCTATAGGCAGCTGTTACGGAGCCTGAGGGACTCCTCTGCATAGCTAGCCAGGGCTTTTCCACGGGGTGGCAGTGTCACACTGTTCACTAGAAGCCATCCTTTTTGTTTGTTTTTCGAGACAGGGTTTCTCTGTGGCTTTGGAGGCTGTCCTGGAACTCACTTGGTAGTCCAGGCTGGTCTCGAACTCACAGAGATCCGCCTGCCTCTGCGTCCCGAGTGCTGGGATTAAAGGCATGCGCCACCAACGCCCGGCAATGGCGGGGTTCTGAAGACCACCTCAGACGCTTCGATGTCACAGGGTGAGAAAGCCCCCTGTATGAAAACAAAATTTCTTTATGACTGATTTGGAGAGCCCCTTCTGTCCCACTGTTACTGGATGCATTGTCTTTCCGGAAGTTCCCCTGGGGTTTTAGGGGACAAAACTCGTGGTGATGCAAGGATGGTGGTTCACCCAGGCTCCTGAGAGCTGGTTATTAAATTCTGGGGGTGCGGGGGGGGGGTGCCTGCAAGCTGGATGCTAAGGAAGTGTCTTAGTTACTGCTCTGTGCGAGCAGACACCTGTGACCAAGGCAACTTATGAAGGAAAGTATTTCGCAGAGGGATCCCTTGCAGTTTCAGAGGGAGAGTCCATGAACATCATCATGGCAGGGGATGGGCATGGTGGTTGGGAGGCGGGGCATGGGGCTAGAGCAGTATCGAGAACTCACATCAGGTGTGTGAGTTGCAGAGGGGAGGGGGGAGAGAGAGAGAGAGAGAGAGAGAGAGAGAGAGAGAGGGAGGGAGGGAGGGAGAGAGAGGAGAGAGGGAGAAAGGGAGAGAGGAGAGAAGAAAGAGGAGAGAGAGAAGAAAGAGAGAGGAGAGAGAGGAGAGAGAGGGAGAGAGGAGAGGGAGAGAGGAGAAAGAGAGAGAAGAGAGAGAGGAAAGAGGAGAGAGAAGAGAGAGGAGAGAGAAGAAAGAGAAGAGAGAGGAGAGAGAAGAGAGAGGAGAGAGAGAGAGAGAGAGAGAGAGAGAGAGAGAGAGAGAGAGAGAGAGAGAGAGAGAGAGAGAGGAGAGAGAGAGAGAGCACGTGTGCCTGGTAGTTTGTTAAGTGCATCCTATCTGACCCTAAAATGTCATCGTTTTCTGTCTAAATTCTGAGCCAGGTGCTGGTGCAAAGGAGGCCTCCTGAAGGATAGAAAAGAGCTTTTATGGATTTCTTTTTAGTGCAGTCTTTCTGTGTAGCCCAGGATAGCCAGGAACTCACTTTGTGACCTCGGTCAGACTGGAACTCATCCTCCTGCCTCAGCCTCCCAAGTGCTGAGATTACAGGTGCTGAGTCACCACATCCACTGTAGGAAAGGGGTTATTAAACATTAAAACTTGGAAAGCCATCCGAGCCACTGACCCCGAAGAGCCCCAGCCCACAGAGCCAGGTGTCCTGGCTCCTGGCTCCACGCCACAGCCGCCATCACAGGAGTGGAAGTTGCCTGGCGCAGTGGTGGAGAGGTGGCCAGGTGCCAGCGTCAGGTTCTGCTACTAAGAACATATGACTCCATATGCCCACGGGCTGGGCTGGCTCCGGGCCACCCTCCCCAGATGGCCATGTATAATTCACGCGTCTGCGATGCTGCGACGCTTTGCTGCTCAGCCTTCAGCTCGCAGACTGACAATTCAGGCCTCCGAGCCCACTGTGCCTGGGAGGCCACAGAGGATCCTGGACCCCAGTGTAGGAATCCAGACCAAACCAGCCCCTTAGGAATCTTCGGGAAGGTCTGTGTTTGGGTCTACACTCTACGTGTTTTTCTGGGTATCTTGTGGTATCCTCCTCAGCCTTGTGGCTGAACCCAGAGGCCACTGTCATTTGCACCAGGAGTCACCGTCCTCGGGGACTCTTCTGGACTCCTGCACTGTCCTGAGAGAGGTAAGAGGCGGAGATGAGAGCCGTCAGGTGCTGGAGACGGCTGAGCGGTAATGCTCACTGCTCTTCCAGAGGACCTGGGTTTGGTTCCCAGCACCCACGTGGCAGCTCACAAGCATCTGTAACTCTAGTTCCAGGGGATCTGGCGCCCTCTTCTGGTCACTGTGGGCCCTGCATGCATGTGGTACATAGACATACACGTAGGCAAACACACACATTAAAAAAAAACATTAAAAAATAAAGCCCAGGAGTAAACAATTATAATAAACCAGGGCACTGCCAGGCCTGTGTCTGAGGCCATCCTCCTCACTTTCCTGCCCTTGCTGTCACTGCTTAGAATCCTGCTTTGGACTCGGGCACTTTCCTTCCTTCTGTTTCCCTGGTGTGCTCGGGAATTCACCGCCATCGGGACTGGGCCCTGTCCCGCTCTGTATGAATCACCTGACCTGGCCCCAGGGCCACACAGTGTGGCCGCTGTTATTTCAACTTCCTAACCCTTTGAGTGGCAGGTCGAACACTGGAAACAAATGCTGTGGACTTTCTAGAAGAGTGAAGCTGGGCCAGGTGGTGGCGCATGCCTTTAATCCCAGAATGAGGAGAAGTTCTTAGACCTGCAGTCCATAACCTGTGGGTCATGACCCCTTAGAGGACCGAACAACCCTTTCACAGGGGTCACCTAAGACTATTGGGAAACAAATATTCACATTACGGTTCGTAACAGTAGCAAAAATCACAGTTATGAAGTGGCAACGAAAATAATTTTACGGTTGGGGGGTCGGTCAGCACAGCCCGAGGAACTGTGTTAAAGGGTCGCCGTGTTAGGAGGACTGAGGACAACTGTCTTAGGCAAAGAAGTCCGGCTTCTACATGAGGTGACTGGGCCAGCTGACCAAGCCTGGACGGTCAGACAGGAGCTGGCATGGAGACTCGACAACAAACACCGGAGAGAAACTTCCTTGGTTTCCAAAGGGTCTCGTGTAGCTCAGGCAGGCCTCCAGTTTGCTTCCCAGTCAAGGATAACCTTGAACTTCTGCTACTCCTGCCCCTGTCTCCTGAGTGTCGGGACTCTGGTGTGCCCCACCATGTCCAGCTTATGTGCTGCTGGAACCCAGGGCTCTGTGTTCACTCAGCCAGGGCTCCACCCACTAAGCCACGTCCTGGTCCCCGAGGGCCGGGCTTTGATCTGTAGGCACCTCGCCTTTGGTCATGTGGTTGAGGTATTTCCAAAGCTTCTGGGTGGGAAATGGAGAGATGCACGCAGCTGTGGTTCAGCGTTGTCACTGCTCAAAGACGGTGGGACCTGGGAGGATGGAGCCGATGAGTTAGGTGGGCTAGTGTCTCATGCAATAGCCGGCTTCATTCAGAGCCTCATACTCTGAGGGTCAAAGGTCACGTGAGTGAAGCTCTCCTGAGTGCAAGCTGTGTACACCCACAAGGACAAGCCATACGTGGCAAAAACATGATTTCCCATAGAGGTGTATAAAGGACAGTATAAACATTTTAATTGGGAGGCTGGAGAGATGGCTCAGCGGTTAAGAGCTCTGGATGCTCTTCCAGAGGTCCTGAGTTCAATTCCCAGTAACTACATGGTGGCTCACAACCATCTTTAATGAGATCTGGTGTCCTCTTCTGACCTGCAAGCACACATGCAGACAGAACATTATATACACAATAAGTAAATAAATCTTAAAAAAACATTTTAGTTGAATAACAACAGCAAGCAATAATGAGTAATCTAAAATAGACTCACTCCTATCCACTACACCTGGGAGGAGCCCGTTCCAAGAACAACTCTGTTTTGAAGACGCTGAGCTCACAAGACCCTTGTTTTCTGGGAGTGTTCTCATAAGCACCCAAAATTTTCATCACACGACTCCATTCTCGGACCATGTTCCGACAGTGGAAACCAAAAACCTAAAGATCTGAGATCAGGGCTGGAGAGATGGCTCTGAGGTTAAGAGCACTGGCTGCTCTTTCAGAGGTCCTGAGTTCAATTCCCAGCAACCACATGGTGGCTCACGACCATGTGGGATTTGATACCCTTTTCTGGCTTGCAAGCAAGCATACATACAGAACATTTATACATTAAAATAGAAAACAAAACGATCTGATTCAGACCCCTAGAGCCCACATGCAAGTGGGTGCAGTATTGAGGGTCTGGTAAACTCAGCGTTTCTGCAATGAGACGGGGGGGGGGGGGGAGGGCAGACAGGGGAATCCTCCAAAACTTGTGCTATGCACAGCAATGAACAGGAGGACCCATAGCCTAGCTTGTCCTCTGAGGTCACTCACAAGCTGGGGCTCCTGTGCCCTTACACACACACACACACACACACACACACACGGTTGCATACACTCAAAACACGGTGGGTGATTTTTGAGGAACACATGCGCAATGGAGACAGCCAGCAGGCCCCAGGCCATCATCACACACATTAAGCAATGACTATGATAGACTGTCCCCTCTGACCTTCTAGATAGTTCTATCTCTGCTCAGCCCAAACCTTCTGCCTCCATCTCAGGCTGAACACATGGTCTTGTTGAAGGATAGCAGGAGCTTTTGTTGCTTTCCCTTCCTGGGTGGGCCACACGTGTCAAGCATGCACAGTGGTGACTTCTGTGCCCGGGTCCTCCCACCCCTCCAGGCTCAGAAGCACCCACGGGGGCACAAAGAATGTGATCAGATGCAGCAGCTCGGCTGGGTGACTGCCACAGGCCTCAGTCATGTGGAACCCGCCAAATTGAAAAGATCTTGGGTTAATCAAATCTCTTTCTCCTCCGCTTTTATCAAACTCAAGAGGGGCCGACCTACTAATTAGAAACGCTTTTTCATGTAAAACACAGGCACTTCAGAGATAAGGAGGGAAACTCCAAAGGCCCCAGGGTGTTACCAGCCAGGCACAGCGATACTCCCTGCTTTCTTAGGAAA